GTTATGTTTTGATGGTGTCCGGGTCATGTGACGGTGTCCCGGTCATGCTGTGATAATATCCCGGTCATGTTGTGATGGTGTCCCCGTCATGTCATGCTGGTGTCCCGGTCCCCTTGTGATGGTGTCCGGTTATGTTGTGATGGTGTCCCAATCATGCTGTGACGGTGTCTCGTTCATGTTTTGATGGTGCCCTGGTCATGTTGTGATAGTGTCTCGGTCATGTTGTGATGGTGTCCCCGTCATGTCATGCTGGTGTCCCGGTCACCTTGTGATGGTGTCCCGGTTATGTTGTGATGGTGTCCCAATCATGTTGTGACGGTGTCTCGGTCATATTTTGATGGTGCCCTGGTCATTTTGTGGTGGTGTCCCGGTTATGTGATGAGGGTGCAAGGAAGAGATGGTAGATGTGTTGAAAATAGCAGTTGTTTCCAGATTTTTCTTTTTGTCCCGGTTTGTATCTTGCTATTAGGGTCTCCAGCTGGGCTAACTTTCTAAATCAGAAAATAGAATATATTTATGATTTTAAAATTCAATATATAAATTCAATCAAGAAAATAACTAAAAATATCCGGATCATAATACCAACGGTCCAAACGATTATATCTTTCGTTTTTATTCAATTTAAATTAATTAAAAATATATATATTTCAACAAACATCGAATGATTATCTCCATAAATGCCCTATTAAATATCTTATAAACAATATATATTCAAAAAAATCGAAATATATATCCAAATTATATTCCTAAAATATATTTGATTAAAATCATTAGATTTACAAAATATAAAATTAATATATTTCTTATAATAAATCTCCAATATATATATTTAAATTTAATATAAATTATCCCCTATAATATTTAAAATATTAAAATAATATATATTTTAGATATAGATAATTTTACATAAAATATATATCAATATATATAATACAAATAATATTTATATTTACCTATTATTTATCAACAAAATATAATCAATTTGTATATATTATTCAAAAATCTAAATAATTTATATATTATATTATTTAATAAAATCTTTAAAAACAATAATTCAAAATATATATTAAATTAATCTATATAATATTTATTCTATATTTCATATATAAATTTAAATATATTTTTTTTTGTAATATATAAATATTTATAATGTTTATTATAATTAATATAATATATATTTTTTATATAATTATAATTCAATATTGTAATGTAAAAAAAATTATTCCAATATTTTTATCTATTTTAAATAACAAATTATATACATACATAAATCATAAAAATATATATTCATATAATAAATCAATAAAAATATTTCATATTATTATATAAATATATTCTAATCTAAAAATAATTATTTAAATACTTATATAAATATAAAAATAAAAAATATAAATAACAATATATTCAAAATATTCTTAAAAAAATATATTTAATCGAATATTAAATCCAAAAATATATCGAAATATATAAGATTTTTCTTTCTTTTTTTTTAAATATATTTCCCGAAATATATAATATAAAAAACATAATTTAAACAAAATAGATTAATAAACAATAAGAAATTAATATTATTGTATTCTTTCACGCACATCTTTAAAAAAAATTACGACCTCAAAAAAAAGAGAAAAAAAACCACCAATTCAAATATAAAGATCTATACCAATTCTTCAATAATTCAATTTGCAATTCTAAATCGTTCCCAACGATTAATCAATATTACATCCCCAAAATTCTTCTCTTCATCGATCCTCCAAATATAAGATTTTAAAACCATTCATCCACAACCTCTTGGGGTTCCCTAGAGACAGGCATCATCTCTTGGTCTTCCCCCCGTGGTCTCCCAAAAATGGTAATTGCAAGTCTAGAAGGTCCACACGCTCGGATGCGCTTCAGCTTGCTCAGATTGAGCCATTCCTCTGGGGGATCCGTGTCCATACACTCCCCAGTCTGTCTGTGTACATAGACTATCTTCCTAAGGGGTATAGACCCCGTGTCGCTTTCGTTCGGAGGAATGCGATATCGGTCGGTTCCACGACATGAAATAACCAATCGGACATCCATCTCCCCAAAAACCAAACCACTAACAAACATTCCCACTAATTAAAAAAGAAAAACTATTCACTTATAAGAAAAAACGACAAATTTTACTAAATCATTTCCCCTACTTAATAAATTCGTAATCACCAAAAATATCTAACCCACGTAAATTCGAATTCCTCCATTATCGATTAAAATAACAAACCAACAAATTAATTCAACAATATAAAATATATATATATATATTAAATAAATATATATACAATATATATATTATTTAAATTAAAATATAAATAATTGTTTAAATTCCAACATATAAATAAAATAAATCGATAAATAAAATATTCCATATCAATCAACCATAATTTTACATAAAGATATATTTATAAAACAACAAAATAATGATTTATATATTTAATATATATTTATTTTTCAAATCAATATAAATTCCTTATATATTCCGATCAATTCCTTTCTTCCAATTTTTTTTTGCGTGCACCGAAAGCAATTTCAAATGAAATATGCAAATTCTAAATATTCAAGAATTTTTTATGTGTTTGAGATTTGGATAATATATTATTTGTATAAAAATAATTCATATGTTAAAAAAATAGATATAATTCCTTATATATCTTTTATTATCCAATATTTTTATGTTTGTTTGTAGGCCTGGATATAGAAAAAATGCAATTATTTTAGGTACAACAAGATATGGCACCCACATCGACTCGCCTATGCACCGCCCGGTTCCTCAATTCGAGCGAAGTCATGCCAAATTTCAAGGATTGTGTGGCTGTTCAAATGTTTCTTGTCTTCGCATCTTGTCGATTTTTCCGAATCCGCAAAGCAACTTTTCTTGTTTGCTGAGGCACCGCTTCTTACGGCCGCCGCAGGAATGGTCACATTTAATGTGCCGTCATCAGCAAGGTGGGTGTGGCTGTGGCATGCTGTGGCCACATGTTCCGGCCAATCATTTTTAGATTTGTTGCCAAGCGGTAGAAAGATTCATCAGTAAGCAGATTGCTATGGACTATCGAAATGAACCTGTGGAATACCCGCCCCACCTGTTTTTCTCAGGACCAGTGAGAAAGTGAGCCCCTCAGAAAGTGCAGCCGCCTCAAGCCAAGGAAGAGGGAGGCGAGACGCGAGAGCCCCAGATCTCCACAAGGTCGTTGTTCATTTGCTGCAGCATCAAGAGCTCTTCTACGGACGATCCCCATAACCTCCTGCTTTGCACAATGAGCTTCTCCTCCAAGGTGAAAGTACTGACACGCAATCTGCAAAGTTGGCTTCCCATGTTCACTGTGAAGGCCGAGGAGTTCTCATAGTTCTTGGCATCAACTGCATTGGAGACGCTTTCCACTGCATACCCTGCTGATGTGAAAGCCTTCGACACCTGCGAGGTGAACTCAGCAATCTCCTGTTCCAAGGTGGATCCATTCTGGCGTCGACTCCAAGCAAAGTGTCTCGAGTTCATCTTCCCAACGTCATGCACAATGGGCCGGCCACCGAACTCCCAGGCCTTTGCCATGACTCGATACTGTTCAAGGGTCATTTCTTGACAATCCTTGCTCATGTAACGATTCATCAAATCTGCCACACTCTCGGCAGTGATGACTCCGTTCCGATTGCTCAAGCTCGCAGTGAGCTCTGTGGCTGAAAGTTTGCCAGAACCACTCTGATTGGCCGCATGGAAAGCGGCGTCGGCCGACTCAAAGCCTCGATTGTAGAGGGCCAAAGCCTCCACCACCCCGGTGCACTTCAACGAGAGGTTTGGTCTTCGTGCTCGAATCTCACGGACATACTCCAAAGGCCCAGACAAAGGGCCTTTGAGCCAACGGAGTTTGGGGTACAACTCGAGGATGTCCTCGTCACCTGCCATAGCAGCTTGAAGCTGCTGGAAGGTCGGACGCTTCTCCGGGGTCAAGGCCCACAAACAGTTGATCAGGTCCTTGAGACCTTCGTCTCCCGCAAATGCCTGAAATTCCTTGTGGCTCCACCATTTGGCCGGAGCACCCTCATCCGTGATGACCTTCAAACCGCCAAAGTAGGAATGAAAGGGTGGAATGGGCTGCCGAAGAAGAAAGACAAGGATGCCCACAGTGAAAACGTCCGCCTTCTCACTGTCATACATCTTTTTCCCATACTCAGGAGCATGGTAAAGATCAGTCCCAACAGCAGCCGTCTGCTCGCGCATGAATTTCGAACCCTGTGATTTCAATTCGGCGATGCGCACAGGACTGCCAACCTCTTCACCTTCATCATCTTCATGAAGCCACTGCACCAAGTTGGCACAACCCAGGTCGATGATGACCACCTGAGCAAGCAAGCACACACGCACACACACACACACATAAGCCTCATGATCACCAGTGAATGCAAAAAAATGAAAAAGGGCTCACCTGCCCATTTTCGTCGATCAAGAGGTTGTCGGGCTTGAGGTCCCTGTGGGTGACCCCATACTTGCAAAGCTCCGCCATTCCATTTATGATGCCATGCACCAACCTACGCATGGTCCCATCAGTTAAGACCGCCCCCTCTGCAGTGATGAGATCAAAGAGCTCTCCATTGGGGATGGCCTCCATGACCACAATGTGCCTGGCTGGATTCCAGGATTCGCATCCTCGACCAATGTGAGTGGCCAAGCCCACGTAGGTGATCACATTGGGATGCTGAAAGACTTGAAATGGTGCCTGCTTGAGAAACTTCAACTCACGATCATTGTCTCTGGACAAGAATTTCATCACATAGCGATGCCCTGTGGGCTCATGAGTGGCCAAGTAGCTTTGTCCAAAGGCACCTGCACCCAAAAAGTCGTCCAGGGTCCATCGTTCACCGAAGACCGTAAAGGCCGTGGGTCCAAACCAGGGGTCATGGCCGCCTTTGCCTTCAAACTTTTTCGCGCTGCGAGAGATCACGCCCAAATCAGCTGCCTTGACTATCGGAATGCCTGTGGAGCCTTCTTGTCCTAGCTTTTTCCTCCAGAATGATGTAAGAATGCTGGCTGGGCTCACCGCACCTTCTGCAACCTTGGAATGGTGTGAGGCAACAAAAGGATGAGGCTCAGTCTGAGAACACAAGAGTTTCTACTGGAAATTGTACATGTACGAAGCATGTGCTGCCAATGAGCTTTCCTGCCTCTTTCGGATGGTATGACCAGCTGAACATGCTTCATATCCCAAGGAAATGCGGCCAAGGCACCCGTTCCTTCGATGAATTGTCAGACCCTAAAGCCTCAGCGTCAGGCAGCGTCAGGTCTGTCCAGGTCTCAGGGGCCTTGTGAATCTTTTTAGATCAAACATTCCTGCAGTGCCTGCAGCAGCCAAGGAGCATCCAAAAGCTTGCTGCGACTGTCTTCACTGAGGTGCTCGAGCAATTGTTGCAAGTCATCTGGGGAGCAGGATTTTACCTAAGGGGGGCCAGCTCATATGGAGAAAAGGACACTAACAACTTCAAAACCCATGATTCGATTGAGCTCTGTCAAGCCGTGTTTGTGGACAGAGCTCAAACCATTGGCATAACAGGCATCCAAGTTCCCAACCCCAAAACTGGACATGTCGACATCGATGACATGCGACACATTGAAACGTGAGATGTCCTTTTCAGGTTTGGAAATTAAACGTGTCAAGGCCAGGGGGCTGCACCAGCAACTGCAACTGAGCCAGCACCTCCCATGGCGCGACTAATGCTGAGGGCTCTAGCCACACCTTGGAAGCCTAAATTGCAACAAATCCTGATGGAGAGCAGGGCAAGCTATGGCAAAGCTGCTGAATTCAACCACAGGGTCACACAGCTGTTGGGAGGAAATGCACTGGAACGAAAAAATGAATGAGAAAAAGAAGAGCTCTTGTGGCTTTTGAAGCAAGTGTCTCGGAACATTTGCCAAGCGTCCTCCCCTGTCTCAAAGGGACTCTTCTGCTTGACAAACTGGTAACCTCAAACCCCGTCGGATAGGGTGCTGCTTGTGGTCGCAACATTGTCACACTAAGGGGGCGGCCCATCACCATGACCATGGCAGCTGCCTAGCACAGCTCAATATATATAGACATGCACCTTTCCAACTTGGTCATCATGTAATACACCCTATTAATCCCGAGTACCCATTTAAAAACGGACCCCTATTAGAAAAAATCATGTCGGAAACCCCTAAATATGGTTTATATTTGTTTTTAAATTACCGCCCTTTCAAGCCGCTACTAAACTACCAACATTGCTGACTTTGGAGGAGTTTTTTTAATTAGGTTCCAAAAACAACCGTAACTGCCCACCTCTGTCCGCCCTGTCTATCCACCATGACACGCCGCGCTTACACCAGCAGGCTTTCCTTCCCCCAATGGCACGGACTCACGCAAACGCACTTGCCACCAAGGTCATGCAACACCGCATGGCACAGCGACATCACCTTTCGAAAGCTTTAGCTGTTAGTCTACTGAAGAATCACTATTCTAATGGAGGTTTTTGTAGGGGAAAAGGAAGACCCTTCGATCTGGAGCTTTTTTGCATTTTTGATACGAGTTTAATAAAGGATTTTATATAAAATTTTACTGATTTACTTTTTGGTTTTGAAGCTCTTCCCAGGTGACCTATTTTGGACCACCCGATTTCAGGCACCCCCTATTAGAAAAAATGCGGCCGAGGTTTCCTTATTAGGGGGGGGGCGTGTTTTTAAATAGGTGGACCGGATTACTCCACTTGCTCTAAGATGTGCGTGTAGTGTAGACATGCACATGCAAACACACAGTATATTAAATACATTGAGTGCTAGTGCACATTATGTTTATGCTAATCCATAAACTGTCCGTGCTTAGGCGTGTGCACCCAAACAATACATACCCGATACTATACCTGAGAAGGGGAGGACGAAAGCCAGCAGCCGCCAGACGAGCGTCTCTTTTTCTGGTGGGCGGCCGCTCTATCTCTCTATCTCTCTATCTATCTATCTATCTATCTCTCTCTCTCTCTCTCTATCTGTCTATCTATCTATCTATCTATCTATCTATCTATCTACACACTCTGCGCATGCTAAAGGTGATGCTCTGCTTCCAAGAAGTCCAGAAGGCACATGGTGCGAAACAAAGTGCTGTCACGAAATCTGCACATGGAGGTTCACAAAGTGCTGTGTTACAAAGTGCTGTGCCTGCCAGGAAATCTGCGCCTCGAGGTTCACACTAGTGCTGCGCCTGCCACGAAATCTGCACATGGAGGTTCACAAAGTGCTGTGCCTGCCACGAATTCTGCACTTCAAGAAACAAGTGAAAACTCCAACCACAATGGAGGGACGATTCCGACCATGATCCGACCGTGATCCGAGCATGATCCGACCATTCATGACCCGAGCATGACCCGAGACCGTCTCGCACACGACGTTCCGCAAAGCTTGACTTGCCAGCTTCGGAGCCACCCCTTCTATTGAAAACCACAGCATTTCGTGCGTCCGCTATCTCTCGAAACGCATTTTGTATTGCTCCTGCCATGAAATCTGCACCTGGAGGTTCACAAAGTGCTGCGCCTGCCACGAACTCTGCACATGGAGGTTCACAAAGTGCTGCGCCTGCCACGAAATCTGCACATGGAGGTTCACAAAGTGCTGCGCCTGCCACAAAATCTGCACATGGAGGTTCACAAAGTGCTGTGCCTGCCACGAAATCTGCACATGGAGGTTCACAAAGTGCTGTGCCTGCCACGAAATCTGCACTTCAAGAAACAAGTGAAAACTCTAACCACAATGGAGGGACGATTCCGACCATGATCCGACCATGATCCGAGCATGATCCGACCATGACCCGAGCATGACCCGAGACCGTCTCGCACACGTCGTTCCGCAAAGCTTGACTTGCCAGCTTCGTGCAAAACAAGGATGCATGTGTTTCGCACTGTGCGCTTTGGGAGTGTTTGTGGTGCTTGTACGCCATTAAAGCGTCAAGCACCACGGGCTGCAGTGTCTGCAGCGCGAAATACAGCTGCTTGAACAGCAGTTAAATAGCAGCCTTGTTGCTGCCGGCTCTGCCGGAAAAACGTTCGGTGCGTGTGGACGCCGCGAGAAGCATCCACTCGACCGAGGACATGGTGCAAGTATAGTTTTTGCTAGGGGGGCGGGAATCCTCTGCGAGTCAACCTCGCAGGCACCCCCACAGAAGCTCAATCCAAATTCATGGACTTTGTGCGTGGTAACGGAAAGCCACCCTCAGCGCTCTGGTTCCAACCTGTTTTCCATGGCTTTCATGGTCGATGCGTTCACGCGACTAGGGCCCCTGGGTTTGAGGCGGAAGCGACACGGAAGGCTGGAGTCAACCTATACATGCATCAGGGAAAAAGCTTTCACAGCTCCCCAAAGTAAACTTTGACTCCAGCTCTCAACTTGGCATTCGACCCACCGCTGTCTCGGTGGTCTTGCCTTCTCTTCAAACTCTCCGCTTCAGCAGAGATGCTGAACTCACCAGTGTTCAAAAGTTCGAGCAACGGCTGTGTTGAGCCTTTCACCTTGGTGAGCGGGTCTGCTAACATGGCAGGGTGGTCCACCCACCTGATCTCTCCCTGCAGCTGGCGGAGGTCTTGGCGGATGATCTGAATCTCAATGGCGGTTCTCTTGTCTTGGCCTCCTATGGTTTCTTTGCTGAGGTAGTCGAACAGGCTTTTGGCGTCCACTATGGCGAGGCATTCTTTCAACGTGCCTCCATCATCTCTGGCCATGGCGACCACTTGATCCCTTGATAGGGTTGATGCCCACTCATGCATGCTGAACTTCTCTATTTCGATCTCCTTGAAGAGCACCTTCATCCACAGCAGGTCGCCCAGTCCTCGTGCTAGGCTTTGAGTTTCAGCAGCTAGGGTGGAGTTAACCACGAGCTTTTGGCCTTCGTACAACTTGAAGATGCAAGGGTCGAGGGTGCTTTCTTTGAAACCTAGCTTCTTCAATGCTCCCACCAGGGTCCTCCTCCAATGAAGAGGGGCATCTGCAAGTCCGTAGCATCCGGCCACGATAAGGCAGATTTGGTCGGGATGAAGCCCATCTATTCCTTCAGGTGGTTGACGGAAGTACAGAGCTCCTTTCTCTCTTTTCAGTGGGGCGCTTTGGCAAAATGCACTTTGAAGGTCGCCCACTGCTATGTCCATTCCGAAGTTCACTGCCACCTGGAGCGTGACGTTGAGGTTCATTGCGCTGACTGTGGGACTGAAACGTTCCAGTTCCAGAATGTCCGGGTCTTTGTCTCCACGTATACACAGCCTGCTCTTCTTGGACGGTGCTTGTCCAGGCTGTTCAGATGGCTTGTATCTTCTTGCCATTCTTGAGGGGAGGATCCGATTCATCTTTCCTTCTTCAGTGAGCTTCTTTACTACTTCTCTTGATTCCTTCACGTCCAGGACTTGAATGGCCTGACTCATACGAATCTTGTGGAATTCCGAGGAATCGGATACTTTCCATTCTTCAAGGTCTTGTGGACTTTCCTTTTTCAAATCCACTTCCTGGCTTAGGTTTCCTCCTCCTTGTGTCTTCTCCGTGGCCCATACTTGAATCTCTTCTCTCTCTTCCATGTTTTGCAGCGTGAATTCTGTGCTTCCTTTCCACCACATCTCCTTGGCGCTGCCAGTTTTCTTCTCTCTCTTCCTCTTCTTCCTCTTTGTCGTTGACGATCTTGGTGGTTCTTTCTCCGAAGCACCGGAGAGGAACTGGAAGATTCTGCATTCCTTGAGGGCTGAACTTGGCTTTTCTTCTGTTCACATGATGTCTTTTGATGCATTGGTTCTTGAGGTCTACTTCCCAGTAATCTTTCTTCGCTCCAACGCTCATCTTCTTCATCTTCTCTCTCCTCGATGTCCACACTTCCTCCTCTTCTTCACTTTCTTCTTCCTGGTGGTCTGCCAGAAACCATTCCTCGAAGTAGGGGTTGATCGGCCCTCGATGCGTCCTCCATCGTAATGGACCTGTCGTGGGAGGAAGTCCATCGAGCGTGCGAGCCCTGTTAATGGACTCGGCCAGACTCCTTTCATACTCTTCTTCTTCTTCCTTTGAACGAACTGGAGCAGGAGGGTCGCCCTTTGTTCTTCCTTCTTGTCCTCCTTCTTCTTCGCTTAACCTTTCCTCCTCGGGTTCTTCTTCCCAGGAGCTGGGTCTTCTGGATCTTGGACTTCTACTTCTGACGGATCCTTCAGGTCCTGTGGGACTCTCTATAGGTTCCGTTGGCTCATATTCCTCTGCTCCCGGCATCTCCTCCTGTTCTTCTGCTTCTAGCCTTCTTCTCTTTAGGGTAGCTTCTTCTTCTTCTTCCTTTGTTGGCTTGACTTCCTTCCGGTCTTCTCCTTCTTCTTCTTCTTCAGGCCACGCTTCTCCTCGAAGGTCTTTGTATCCTTTGCGATTTGATGACCTCTTGAAGTCTTCCATTAGCTCCTTGCAGCTTCTCATGACCTCTTCGATACCTTGTTGCTCCACGTTCGTGGCCTTCCGGCACTGTTCTCGCGCTACCCTCCATAGTTCTCCATACATTGAGACCCATAAGCTGGCCCCATCCACGGCAATGAGAGTGCCTGGTCCGACCCAAGTGGCTTTGTTGGGAGTCCTCTCACTGCTGGGCAGACCTCCTTCGTGCTTTCTTTTCTTTTGTCTTGGCACTCGAAAGACGTACACGTAGTCCCCAGCTTGAAAGTCCTGAGTGGCTCTGGTTCTGCCCTTTGACACTCTTTTGAGGGCCTCCCTGGCATTGTGTTCCACAAAGGCTTTCTGAGCCACTCTTCTCATCTCGTGGACTCTTTCCATGTCATCGACCACTGCACCACTCATCAGTCCTGGGTCTATGACGTCATCGCCCAGCAAACTGCTTGGAACTCGAGGCCACTGACCTATCTGTCTTTGCACCGGAGAAAATCCGCTTCGATTGCTGAACCGGTTCTTTGCCATCTCGACTTCTTGCATGGGGAGCTCCAGTTCTTCCTTGGACGTGATCACTGTCTCCTCTCGGGCCTTCTCCAGAAGCTCCTTGAAGTGCTGCCCGTGTCTTTCTGTACGCCCGTTTTGCCATGGAGCCTTGGCTGCGATGGTCTGAGTGACGACTCCATGAGAGGATGCCATTTGCATCAGCTGAGATGAGAACTCTCTTCCGGCATCCGTGATCAGAACCTCTGGCAATCCAAATGTTCTTCCCCGTGTCGACCATAGGGTATTCCAGATAGTCTTTGGCTGCTTGTCAGCTACCCTTTGCACCATTTGATAGTTGCTTCCCCAATCGACCATAGAGAGAGCGGGGAAGAGCCTTCCACCTCCGACCTCTGGGAGGAAAATGAGGTCAACTCCGAGCGCTCGACATGGCTGATAGGTCCTCGGGATGGCAGCAGGTCGGTTAGCCTTTGGTCTTGGCTTGGCTTCACACGACGGGCATTGGAATTCTTTGTAAGCCCATCTGATGATCTCTCCTTTAATTCTCGCAGCTCTCATGAACCTCACGAACTCTCCTCTTTGTGGGCGCCCAAGGCCTTTGTGCAACTTCGTGACTGACTTCTTCTCGTCCTCCGTGACGGAGTACCTTGGTTCTTCTTCTCCTCTCATCCTTTTCTTTTCTTCTGCCTCCATCTCCTTGTCTAGAGCCTCTTCGAGTCCAGGTTCTTCTTCCTCCTCGTCGTCCCCAATCTCTCCTGTTAGAACGGAGATGAAGCGTTCACATGAGCCGCCGTCCTTGACCAGCTGGTTTCGGAGTCCTTTGATCACCGCTTTGCAAAAAGCTGGTGGGTATTCTTGCGCCTTAGCTGGCAGCCCACAGACTGTAGGCACATGGAAGTGCCTCTTGTCGCAGGTTTTGCTGAGAGCCTTTTCCATCTCTTCGGAGTTCATCAGCAGAGATGTGGGCTTCTTGTTCAATCCTTTCCCGGATACGTTCATCCCGAACATACACATGTCGGTCCTCACCTTCGTCACTCCATTCATCTCCTCCACTTCTTTGAGGCATTTCTCCTCCCAGGAGAGAGCTGCAGCAGGATGTTCAAAGAGGAAGTATCCTCCTCTTCTGTGTTGCCACTTTAGCAATTCCGCTGCTAGTTCAAGATGTTCCAGCCCTGTGCTCAAAAGAATCCAGGCTTTATCCCACTCCATCTTGGGGTAGTTCAGGGATTGGAGGATGGAGAAGGCACAACACGGAGGGCATACGATCAAAAGGATCGGTGCTTCTTCTTTCAACTGCTTCCACATCGCTCGCTTGTGAGCTGGATCGGACAGATTCCATCCAGTTTTCAGGTCGAAGGAGCCACCTTGCTTGAGACCTTGGCGATGCGCCTCAGCTGCTATCCTTGGGGGTGAGAAAACTTCGCTCACTGTTTGAAGCCCCTTTAGAACGGCCTTTCTTTGCTTGCTAGTGAACTGAACTTCCTTCTCCAGCCCATATTCATCATCGAAGGCAGCTTCTTTGGTGAGCCAAACTTGGATCCTGACCGGCCTCTCTTCTCTCAATGGAATTATGCCTTCTTCTTCCTTCCATTGGTTTTCTTCAGTCAGGACTTGGTGTCGTAGCTCCGACCTGACGTGAGGGATCTGTCCAGACTGAACCTTTCTGAGAGTTCTTCTTGCAGATGTGTTCTTGGCTACAGCCCATGGTTCTTCCAAGCCGCTCGGTTCTCCTTCTTCCCCTTTCAGTCGCTGTCCTGGACGTGGACTGTCTCCGCCGCGGCAAACCTCTTCCTGTCTGTCCTCGGACTTTTGCTCCTCCTCCTCATTTCGCTCTTCTTTCCTTCCTCCGAGTCCACCTGTACAAAGCTCATCTCGGAAGGAGCTTTGACCGGATACTTGATGGTGGGTCCGTATTGGAAGAACTCGCATTGACCCATTCTGCAAGTCCAGAACTGCCTCTCCTCTGGTCGATCCTCGAGCATTCTCCTCAGCTTCACTGCCAAGACTCCGCAGTGACACAGCCTGTCTTCCTCGAACGCCCCTTTCATCTCGGGCGGAAGCTTCTTCTCCTCCTCTTCCTTCTTCATCACTGAGTGGAACATGGCCTGCATCTTCACTTCCTTCTCCCGTAGTTCCACCTTCTGCTGCTGGAGTTCCTTCCACATCGCTTCTTGCTTGGCTTGGTTCTCTTCCTTCTCCGTCGTCAGGTACTTCTGCAGCTCGAGGAGCACCTTCTCGGACTTGGCCGATGAGCTTGATGCCGAAGTGCCGTCCGCCTTCTTCTTCTCCAGCTCCTCCTTCACGGTGGCCATTGGACTTTGGCTCAAGAGGCCCTTCTTGTTCTTCTTCAAGTCCTCCTTGATCTCCGCTGCTGTGAGGGGAGACTCCCATCGGGAGTGACAAATTCGGCAGGTGATGTATGAGGCACTCTTGTTGCCTCCTCCCTTCAATTGAGCTCTTGGGTGCACACAGGAGCTCGCTGCGGTCGAAGGAGCCTCCTTGGACTTCAGAGGCGCAAGAGGCTTCGCCTTGGTGATGATCTCGCTGTAGATAGCCTCCAGTGAATCCTCTTCCTGCTTTGACGACAGAGTAGATGGCCCCGAAAGTGAGAGCGAGGGGAACCATTCTTGCACTAGACTTTGACGCTCGACGAAGGCCAGCAGAATGAAGATCTTGTCCAGGATGACTCGCCAACAGCGAATCGCCATCTTGGGCCTTCGAGCTTGGCTTCTCGCCGGAACCTCCGCTCCAGCGTTCTTCTTGTCTGACTGATCGCCCATCAGCTTGCCCATGCGCCCGATCAAGCCCTCCATGAAGTCGAGCTGAGCAGCGCGGTCTCTCCAAGACGGGGGCAGCAACGAGCGGGAAGCTGTTGGATTGAGCCAACATTGCTTGAGTTTCAAAACTCTTGACAAAGTCTTCTTGAAGAAACGGACAGTTCGGTGGAATCGAAAACCCGGACGGTGCGAAGTGCATGATGTCAATCGTGACGTGACCACTGGGCATCTCGTGCAAGGGCAACTCTATACCTTCCTTTGGCAGGATGAACTTGAACTGAGAAAAATCGATGATTGCTTCCATGCATTTCAACAGTTTGACCGGCAGCAACAAAGGAACTTCCCCTTCGACCACGGTGACCTCTAACAGCCCGTTCAATCCACCAACTCCCACTGGAATCATAGCGACTCCAACGACTTGAGCTTGCCCTCCTATTCCTTTCGCTAAAGACTTCTTGGGGACCCATTTGATAGCCAAACCATGATCGTGTAGTCGTCGCTCGAGTCGATGAAGTGCATGGATTCCAACCAAACCTCCTTCCGCGGCCGTATCGACCACCCCAACCTCAGAACCTGTAGTTATCCCATAAAACTGGGGCTCTGCTGGCGCGGCCTTATACGAGGACTGGTCTTTGGCGCTCTCAGTGAAACAGAGAGCCCTCTTCCTCTCTTCAACAAATTTCTTCAGCCAAAAGATCCTCTTTTCTGGATCGGCCGGCGCTTCTGGAAAATGGCGTGGGTGTTCCGCCGACATGGCGTTCTCACTCACCACAAAGAAACCTGTCTTGGAGTTGGGTGCCGATGAACTTGGGGCGGTGGAGCTGGACGAGCCTTTTCCTTTCTCTGCGCCTTTGCTTGTACACTCTCGGCTGAGGTGTCCAAGCGCTCCACAGCTCCAGCATCTTGTCCTCAATTTGAGCTGCTCTATGTGCACTCGATGTTTTCCCTTGCCTTTGCCTTTTCCCCAATTTCTATCGTTCCCGAAGCCCTTGCCCTTGAAGGAGTCTCTGTTGTAGAAACCTCTGCCGTTCCTTTGGTTCTTCAAGGCGTCTCGAACCTCGCGATAGCTCGCGAGAGCCTCAAGCATCTCCTCCTCGGTGTAGACGCCATCAAGGTCACCTTCAGCCACGAAGATGTACTCCTCGCCATCACCCTCATCATCGTCCGCCTGGAGGTAGTTGTCATCCTCATGGGCGTCCTCAAGGTCCATGATGTAGGTGCTCTTGCCGGAGGTCTTGTCCTTGATTACTTTGTCTAGCTTTCTGAGGGCTTTCACGATGGACAATTTGTCGTACTTGCCATCGCACCAGGTCAGCAGCCGCTGCTCTTGAGCCTCGCTCAATGATGCCTGCCGGTACAAAATGTAGCCGGTGGCGCCTTCTGGAAGGTCGACTCCTTCCTTTGAGAGCCTGGTTCTTCACTCCATCATCGCTTGCGATGTCGTCGAACTCCATCTCATCAACTGCCAGCTGAGCCATGCCCGACAGCGCCCTCAAAAGCTTTGCCCCTTGCTTTCTTTTTGGGATGTCGGTCTCAAAACACCACAGACGAACATTCTTCTCGAATGTTCGAAAAGTCCCCTCCGGGTCCGACCCATCGTACCCAGGTGGCGGGTCTCTGTCCCGCGGCCCCTCTCTCTCTCTCTCTCCTCCTGACCCGCGGCAGCCGCCGCCGATGAGAAGGCTCGTGAGCTCCTCGGTGGCCTGGTCGTCGTTTCGCCTTCCGCCTCAGAAGTCGGCATGGTCCTGGATCGTGGCCGTGGCTCCGCTGCCACTGTGCGTGGTAACGGAAAGCCACCCTCAGCGCTCTGGTTCCAACCTGTTTTCCATGGCTTTCATGTCGATGCGTTCACGCGACTAGGGCCCCTGGGTTTGAGGCGGAAGCGACACGGAAGGCTGGAGTCAACCTATACATGCATCAGGGAAAAAGCTTTCACAGACTTGAACTTACGGGTTGTCCTGGGAACTCGTATCCTGCATGCGGCTGCGGTCTGCTCTGTACGTGGGTCCCTGTTCCCACTCGATTGCTCAATGCCCATTGTCCAAATAGCCTCCAAAACTCTTCATGATGCTAATGATGCACTACTCGGCGTCCATTGCATCACTCACCCTCGCTTTGGAGCGCTCTCCCCCACCAAGCTCCGGGTTCACCCTCTCAATGTCCCTCTCAGCACCCTCCCCCCACACTCCCTTAACTCACTTCGTTCGCTCTAAAAGCTCAAGCCTAGCCTATCGGCTGGCTTTCGTAATGAGATTATATGAGCTAGAGATATTTAGAAGAGACGTTCTCAGCCTGCTCTCAATTTGCACGCCATGCTGCAAAGATTGGCAGCTTGAAGTTCCCGAGCATGTCTGAAGGAGGAGGTTGGTAGACTTGCCTGCCAGTCACACCCAGTCACACCCAGTCACCCGGAACATGCAGCCTGGCTCCAGTCGTAACTTAATATCAACACGCAGCGGCCGGGCATCCACACATCATGAGTTCAAAGACCTCGATCTCCATGCCATCCTGGAAACAATATCACAAGCTGAAACCACCAAGCAGGATGCCCTCAAGCAACATCCAACCCTCCACATCCTTTGTTTTCTGCGTTCTGTCCTCGGACAAAGTTACAAGGAGATCACCTGGATGGTCAGGATTGACAGATTGCCTTCTTGACCCTTGAAAAGGCTTCAAAGCTTCAAGAGCCTGCCTTCTTGGTACCTCCTCTGCACTGCCTGGTAACCAATCACTCTTGGTCAACGCACAAACGGCAGTTCCAAATCAAGCTGATGAACAAGGCTTACCTTTTCAACTGTGCGGCGACTGTGCGTGCATGACACACACCTACAATAAGTGAAACAGCCTGGCTGGTGGCAACCCAGCAGAAACCTGGAATCATTTCCTGAACGTAACATGTTTCACTTGTGTTTCGCGCAAGAGGTGTTCACCAGTCTCAGGCACGAAAACTGAGCGTCAAGAGAGCTCAATCACTTCGCCAACGATAGGAGTTTTTTCTTTGTCGCCAGCGAGAATTGCGGCCTCAAAGGCGGTAGGAGGAAGCATATTGATAGATTCATGTGATAGATTGATGTAAATCATGCCGACTTTACAACTCCCGGACTCCCTATGTGACATTTGATGCATCAGGCTTGCCTTTTTGCAAAATGAATGTGCACCAGGAGTCACAAAGGGGTGCCTATTGGAGGTTTAGGGGTGCCCATTATCCACTCACTTAGGGACCAAACACCACCCCTTTGTGACCCCTGGCAGAGTCATTTTGTCAACCTATCCTTTCAAACATTTCGTGACCGAAATGACTTTTGTATGTAGAGTGACTCTGCTGGAGAAATGAACTATATGCGGTTGTGGTGCTGTCTGCTCCAATTTAATGCCGAGTTCCTCAGCAGGACACACATAAGTTAAGCCGTTAAGCTAAACAAGCCACATTGCATCAAACCCTCAGGTTAGCGAACATTTCCGGGCAAGACGCATCGCTGAAGTCAGCCACGTACATCACAAATTCCACTATGTTCAAGTTGCCTCATGGAGGGTGAACATCGGTCGCAGCCTCTGAAAGTCGTCGACTCTTATGAAGAGTGTGTATCTGTGTATGCACCGTAATTGTGCTCAAGAATCGGTTATTGAACGGTTATTAGCAGGCCTTTTGTGTGCAGTAGGGGCAAGAAGCCTAAAGCGGGAATCATGAAGAGATCTAGTGTTGTTTCCCCAAATCTCTTTCAAGTAAGAGAGGCTGGCTGGGAGGCAACACTCTGTCTGCGCCAAGCAGCCGCTCCGATCGAAGTCAATGCCACTCATGAGCTCGTCGAGCTGCTGATCATTGAAATTGGGATCCAGCCTCCCAGAACTCGACTGAGTGAGTAAAAGAGTTGATCAACGTTAACTCCCACAACGACAGGCAAAAAGACGATGGGAGGCATGAAAGAGGTGGAAGATGGTTCAATCACGTGTAAACCATAGCTCGGCCCAAAAACATCTCTTCCAGCCCGCCTTGTGAGCACAGCTTTCAATTCAGCACGGGATATCAAGCCATTGGAATCCGTATCAAACTGTCCGAAGGTGGAAATGACTTTGGACAAGGGCGCAAACTCTGTGTAGCTGACTTTGCCGTTGCTATCCTAAGCGCTGGCTCGCAGATGAGATGAAAATAGCAGTTCGGCAGTTCTTCAACTGTTCGGCAGTTCGTCCCTGAGGCCCGTGCTGTGTCAAAGACCTAGGAGGGAATCAGAGGGGAGGAGGCGGCATAGGAACATTGAGGGAAAGCTGCTTGTTGGAAACATGCGCGTTGAATCTCTGCTGCCATGACCTACCATTTAAAATTCAAAAGCATTCAAAAGCTATACTAGCGATGACCACTGTAAAGCATGGCAAAGGACTTGCCTTGACCCTGCCAAGAAGCCATCATCAGCTCATCAATGTTGACGCCCGGAAAGCAGCTCCGCAGTGCCTCTGCCAATTCATCTTTTGAGACCTGCGAAGCTGCAAGCTACTACCCCGGATGGTTGAAAAAGCCACAAACAGAATCAAACAGGTGTGTGGGTGTGAGATGGTGTGAGGTGACGCTGGATCGCCACTGGATCGCCTGGATCAAACAGGGCCTTCCTGACTTTCTGGGCCACTTGAAATCCGAAGCCCCAAAGCCCCATGGGGCTTTGTCACCTTGCCTCTCCACTACCGTCCTTGTCCAACTTCCGAAACTCTTGCATCCTGGGCAGTCAAGGTACGGTCCAGGAAGCGCTGTCATAAAGTTGTGGTGAATGCAGCCATTGACATGCGTGACGCCATTGACCATTGACTGATGCAAGCAAAAAACAAGCAAAGTATGCGCAAGAGTAATCATACAGGTGTGATTGTCTCACGGAAAATCACCCTTGCAGCTGATGTTGAGGTCTTTTCATGTCTTTTCAGGTGTTTTCAGATGCTTTTTATAGTGACAAAGTCACAGAATCCGGAGCTTGGAGTCCGCCAAGGGCGGCAAGACCTTCCTGGCACAGGCTAGGCTGGCTAGGCGTGTACTGTTTTACTGTAAGCCTTCTGTGTCCACTGTCTGGCTCCTTTCCCAAAAGGTTACCATCAAGTCTGCCATCACACATGTATCAATTGATCCAAATTCCTGCTCATGGAATGAATGGTCACAAAACACAAACTTTACTCTCGCGAATCTTTCGTGAACTCCATGTTTAACTTTCGCGGTGAATTGACCCCATTCTCTCTCTGGCTCAACGTTCGTGTTCCTGTCGATGCGTGGACTAAGATCGGCTACAGCAAGTCCCCGATTTGGGAATCAACCCTATCAACATGTGGGCAAAGGTCTTTCAAGGGCTGTCACATTCCCCGAGGCAGACGTGAAAACTTTAGCCAAACTGGGATGCATGTCAGCACCTTTTCAACGCCCAAGACTATGTGACAACAATGTTTGACCTTCCGCAAAAATGCATCTCTACTTTGCGGACTCGAAAACGCTCTTGCCAACAACATAAAAATTGGATAAAAAAGGTCTCGATCATTATATAGGGCTACGCGCCACGTCCTCTTGGTCGAGAGCTCGTCAAGTCTGTGGAGGACATCGGGTTTCCGCGATTCCGCCGCCAATTTCTCGACTTTGGCCTCCTGACCTCAAAGCAAAGTCTGGGAACCGGCGAGCCTCCGGCGACCTGTGGCTACCCAATGGTGCTCTTGTTAAAGCATCCCGTCTTATGCCAAGGCACCAGGCAGTGGCTCCAGTTTCGGGGCCATTGCACAGAGCTTGGGTTGCTGGGAAGCTGAGACCCCAAATGGCAAATAAACAAGGCAAGGATTGCCGATCGTGCGATGTTCGGACAGTCGTTTGCCATCTGCGACCATGTATGCAGGCTGCGGACATGTCATGAGCGGCAACCAAGACGTGCATCAACAAGCCACGTCGGCACCCAGTCGCGCAGCGGGCGGCTGCTTCTCTTCCATGAGATGGGGGAGACATCTCTGGCCTTAGTGCATAGGGGAGGACGAAACACGACCCCCCAAAAAAACAACAAATCGATGGATTCAATGGATCCTCCGATCTTTGGTACTTCACATCTGGACCCTTTGCGTCGTTGGCGCATAAGCTTTGGGCAGGATCATCCCAGCCTCGACCGGACGCACGCGTGTTTGCCAATATAAAAAACTCATCCCATCAAGACATCTCAATCGATCAGTCAAGTCTACATGTCTTAAACAACAAAAGCGGTTGGTGGATGCTGAGTGCTGTCAAATGCTCTTGGACATTTGAGGTCAGCTAAGACAAGACCAGTGCCTTTTCCGACGTGGGTCATGTTCAAAACAGTGACCTCAAAGCGATTGAGTCTTCTCCACAAACCATACAGGCACGAAGTCAAGCAAAGCTCTACATCTTTGTCATGGTTCAACCACCTACAGTACACGTTTTCCATCCGACCTCAGATCTGGAGTGTCGGGACTTCTCCACAGCCAGGAGGAAGCCGCGGATCTTGGAATATACAAATCTTTCGGAAATCCGTTTGTCGGGGTGTTCGATTCATCTGAAATTTTACCAAAAATTGCACCACATTGCATTGCGTCCAGGCACCAATCGAAGCATAATTAATGTGTGGTGTGGTGGGTGCACTCCTAAGGCATAAGCAGATGAGAGAGAAAGCGGCGCTCGGGTCGTTCCGACTGGGAAGCGGTGCTCAACCTGTTGCAGCAACTGGGAAAGCAAAGCCGTGAATTTCACGGCGCATTTACGCACCTTGCAGTCCCGCTTCTCACGCACAGAGAAGACCCAAATGGTTCCCTCCACATCCGCCGCGAGAACTCTCGACCTTTGATAGGCAGCCTAAACATGCCTAAACCACAGCTTCCTGGAAATCTCATGCTTCATGGCAAATCTGAGCTTGTGGCTGCGATGCAGTGTCAGTGACAGCATCCAATAGTCCAGGACCCTGGTACCTGGTGTCGGAGGTGCCACCGGTGTGGTATACGGTCCGGTGGTCGGGCTCTCCTTGGACGAAGCCGGGGCACTTGTAGCAAGAGAAGGCACGAGCCTGGCACTACAACTCAGCTAGCGGAAGAGCACGCGAACGATTTGAATGCAGCAAGGCCAAGCACATGCAAAGCATGTCCCAATCGTGTCAAGAGGGGCTGTACCCTTCTCCAAGTCCAGGAGCCCCCACCTCGCTTCAAGCGTGTACCCATGAGTTTTCGGCCCAACGTTCATTGCTAAGGCTCGTGCTGATTACCTGAGACATACACCACATTGCCCAAATGCGCATTGATTCGCTTCACCTGAAGGGACGTCTAAAGTGCAGGGGGCGAACCTTGGACCGTCCGCGTGCCTCTCCGTTTTGCATTCTAAATCTGAGGCCACCACAGGCTCGCTGCTCACGCGGAACCTTTCGATCTACTGACGCTGCACAAAAACATGGAATGAATGCGTTGCCATGGATGTGCATCTCTTGGCTTTTTGGCTCCGCTGGCGAATTGCTTAAGCTACTTGAGCCCTTGTGAATCTTATGATGCTGTAAGTGGGGCTTCGACTTCGACTGCTCAAGTCAAGTTCTTCTGGCAGGCATACTTATCACGGAGCCCTGTTCTACCAGCGAGGGCCAATGTCTCAAAAGCCCTCGAGAGCAGATCTGTTTGGTAACGCGTCAATGCTGTTGGAGTTCTGTACCTTAAAGGGCGGCCAGGAACTTCGGATTTCCCGTCCCGCTATATCACAAATTGAGCCCTCTCACCGTCATCATGATCATCATAATGCATCATGCATCCTGCATCATCATAATCATTAAATATATGTATTTAAATAAATAAATATATACCCTACGCAACAAAACCCTATAAATTTGTAGGGTCTCAATCGGAACCTCGGGTATTCTTGTGAAATCAAAAATACCTCAGGTTTGTTCTTAAAACCTCGGGTCTTGCTTTTCTAAACCGTGCTAAACCCATATTTAACCCGTACTAAACCCATATTTAACCCGTACATACCCGTACTAAACCCGTATTTTAATATTGGTTTGGAAAACCTGGGGGTTCCTTCAGAAACCCTAGGTGTTTCCATCGACCCTACAAATTTATAGGGTTTGGGTGCGTAGGGTATATATATATATACATAATCATCACCATCCTCCTCATCATCATCAGCAGCAGCAGCATCACCATCATCATTGCAATCACTCCTGTCCCATCCCATCCCAGCCCATCCCATACCACCATACCACCACCAACACTCATCATCATGAATGGTAATACTCCTGGCAATAGATTGCAACTTCAGACAGTCCCAAAACTTTGCCATGTGCGGCATTTGTGCTGCCCAAGCAATCCAGTCGTCAAGGCCACCCTCCAAACGCCAAAAGCGGTCGGAGCTCATCCCAAAAACATCCTCAGGTCCCAATGCTGCCCTCAAGAGTACGGGCCTCATGTGGTCTTGAAATCCGCTGTATATTCTATATATATATATCTTTATGTTTGTGTTTGTTTGAAATGACTTTTGCTCATCTATTGCCATTGCTTGCTTTAAGAGTGCCCAAGTCTGGTTGTGATCCTGTACCATTCACTCAAGCCCCGATGCGGAGGCCTGCCTTCCACACCATCTCCAGCGCATGTGGGATTCTGCAAAAGCCCGACTAAGGACCAGGCGATCAGAAGAGCAGCGCACATGCCTTGGTCTGAGTGAAAAAGACGATTTGCAATGCCAAAGCACAAAGTGCGCCGCAAAATGCCAAGACGCCACAGTTTCCAGTGGTACCCCCATGTGTTGAGAAGGTGACTACCTGTGGAGCCATAATGCATGTTGCGAGATGAGCTTCGTCAATGAAAACAGTTGCTAAAATCAAAAAGACTCTTAAAACGTCGTAGAAAGATATGTAATATGTACGGCACATATGCACGGCGCAAAGAAACACATATGTGCAGTTCTCCATTTGTGTGCAAGGGATGGCCGACAACCCTATACCTGTTTTTGGGGCTGTCCCCACGTTGAAGGCTCCAACCCGAAATGATTCCAAGGAATGCATTCACCTGACAAGGTGCCTGGCACGAGCTCTCAGTAAGCCTCACCAAGTGTCTGGACAAAGAATCTGGTGCAGCACGCAGGTCCCCGAAGCTGATGGGAATCGCCCCAGGTACCAGCGGAGTCCTGACGCTTTGGTGGGTGCCAGGTGCCATGGCACCAGTGAGTGGTTCACGCATGTTCACCCCCCCAAAAAAGGACTGAGACTTGAGACAGGGAAACACGAAGGTAGCCAGTCACCAGGAATATATGAAAGCCGCAGTATCTAAACGCAACAGGGCTGCGTAACAGCTGTGGTGTGTGCAACTGCCTGGTGCCAAAACTGTGCTGCGCAAATGCGGCCGTATGTCACGTGCACGCTACGCAAAAGAGTGGCCGGGGTCGCAAGGAGAGGTTGCTAAAGCATGTGGTGTGGTGCAAGAAAGGACTTATGTCAACCCTGTGCTGCCTGAGATATGTCCAATCCGTGGTGTCTAGAGTCTAAATACAAGGCTCTGTGGCAGCTGTGAACTGCCTCTGTGCCGTGCAAATGCGGTCATATTGATGTCACATTGACATGCGCGCTCCACATGAGAGTGGCCTGGGTCACGAGGAGAGGTTGCTACAGCATGCGGTGTGGTGAGGTTTGTCAAGATGGCTTTGCGTAGAGGCTGTGTTGCGTCAACGCTCGTTTGTGTAAAGCTATATGGTGTGTGTGAACGCATGTGTAAGAGCTGCATGTAAGGACCACAGATGTGCATGCATTGCTGCCAGTGAATAGACGTCATGCTATGGTGGGCGATGCTAGTGGTGCTGGCGAGGGGTGGCGGGGTCACCAAATGATTGATTATAATCAATCATAAATCACTATGGAAAGGGGGGGGCTGTCATAGACAAAGAATTATATATAGAAGATTTATGTTTGGTCCCGAGTAGGCTGTTCAAGCTACCCATTTGTTTTGCAAAGCCAACTCAAGGTAGCCCTTACCAGGCTACCTTTCATGAAAAGGCGTGTGATTATGTTTGGTTTTGTCTCCACGTGCTCCTGCGTTCGTACTGGGCCTCGATGCGCTCACGGCAGTCCAGCACCACAGCCGTTCCATGTTTCAGCCATTCAGCCAGCTGCTCGGCACCCACCTCCGGGATATCATCGGGCACAGAAGGCACCTGGGAAGCAGATCGACGCGCGGAGCCTGGTAATGCGCGCGGTGCCACAAAACAGCATGACACTCCCAGAGATAAGACTAGGATGTAGATATGGAAAACGGGTTTGGATCAAATATGCGAACACGCTGCTTCAACAATTCAACACACATTATCAAAAACACACAATGCCAGTGGGTGTCTCATGATGTCTCTCAGCATGAAGAACCTTTTGCACCCGCCTCCCCCAAGTCATAGTCATGCTCCCACTGATCTACAGCAGTCCGGACGCGAACCTGACATTTGGCATTTCGGACACTCGTCTCGTCTTTGCAACGAATTTCTGGAGGTTCCTCCAAATTGCCGAACATGTTTGGAGTTTTATCCAAAAACAAATTAACTTTGACGTTGACCGGTACAAATTGACAATAGCCGCTCGATAGCCACCACCTGGCCTTTGCCGCGGCCGGATGCAAGGGCCACTGTCGCTCCTGCACATCCTCTGCAAAATGCCCTGGTTGCGCTTTGAGAGCCAGCTCTTCCGCGCGCTTTACCGCAATCAGGCCATCCTGAACAAAAAGTGTTTCGTGATTATTTCGCTAATTAAGGTGACATGTGACTGAGAGCCAGCCCAGCCCGGATTTGAAAAAAGAACATGTTCCCTCTCCATCCTCGTAAGCACGCTGAACAAGCTTGAAGATCTCACCATCTGTTCCACCCTTGTCAGGGTGATGCAAAAGGGCCAGTTCTCTATAGGCTTTCTTCAGCTCCGCAGCATCAATCTTCTTTACTCCCAATGTCTCCTGCCAGCCCTTCGCGGCCAAAATCCGGTGCGCTCCCGAAACCTCCGGTCGTTCCGGTGGTGCGTCCGGAGGAGGCTTGAAATGCCCGGGTGGTGATTTTGATGGAATCTGTTGGATCTGCGGCTCAACCGAGGGCCATGGCCAAGGGCCTGGGCACTTGGCTTCGAGTTCGTCCAGTTCATCGAAGTCCCAATTGGTCATGGCATCTGCCCAGCCACCATCAGCAAGAAAAATTATACCCAGCACATCGCATGAACTGCATGAGCATAGCTTTGTCGCCTAGTCTTCTGTAGGGTAAACTGCAAGAAAGGAATCGAGGCTGTTGCAAGAACTGTTTAAAGAAAACCCTCCGATGATGAATGATGGTGAATGGCAATGAAGTGAGCAAGTAGCTGTTGAGGCCTTTCTGACACACCAGCGTCTACAGCATCTGGGCAAAAAGCCCCCTTGAGAAAATGTCAGCGCAAGCGGCATGAGAGCGGCCGTCGTCCGATGCTGCCATGAAGAGTCTGGAACACACGGTGCCTCTCATGAAGTGTCCCGTTGCGCGTCAAGACCTGGCTATGCCGCTATGCCGGTTTGGTCGCTGCACACAGGGTGTTGGCTTCACCAATAGCTCGGACTCAAGCCGATATCCAGCCAACCTGAGAAAAAGAGATTCAAAAAGCAATCTGCCCAGGGATGATGACCTCCTTCGGACGCGTTTTTTCTTCGAGAAGCTGAATCCCCTGTAAGGAAGTACTTGACTCCTTGCACCGCTGTCATCACAAAAGCCTTGGCGAAGTCAACGAGGTTTCAACAAAGTCGAGGCCTAAACCTTCTTCGGCTTCAGGCGGTCAGTGTGGGAGAGGAGTTCGAGATGTTGTCGACTGCAAGCGGTATCCGCGTGGCCTCAAAGACTTGGCCCGAGTGGGAAGATATCTGAACTGGTTTGATCATTACCATGGACTTGTCTATACTCTTGTATAGTTCCCCTCAGGGCGTCACCAGGTGAAATTGTGCCGTGATGTTGGCAGGCGAACCCAGGTGGTTCGAAACCCTGGCACACAAACTGCATATTTTCAAAAATATTTACTGGTGCCACAGAATAACTTTAAAGTATTCTAAAGTAGCGTCAGGAAAGAAGGCTCCCAAAGGTTTGGTGTTTCAAAGTTTCGATCTTCAAATCTTTGCTTTTTGTGACTGCGTGCCCAGCTATCTTGTCTGTTCAATGCTCTGTTCTGATGCTTCTGCATGCAGGGCATGGCTCGGCTATGCCGTCTTCGCCCAAAGCCTAAGAACACTAGAACATCACCTTTCAGGGATGCACGGAATGAATTCATCTTTTGCTGCCAGCAGTGAATTGACCAAACACATGCCATCTGCAGCACTGCAAGTCGCAGCGCCTGCTGCCCGCTGGGGACAGCTGGGCATGGTCGGCGCGATTCGCTGCTGGCCCAGCACGTGAGCTGAACAATCAACACCCGACACCCGACAAGTAGTATGTAGAAGGGCTTCAACGATCAAGATCACCAAAAGCTTGCTTCTGCCGTTGCACTTGGCTATTGCTTCACATGCCAGCGAATGCACTGGGCGTACTTCCCACTGACCATCACCCTGCTTTGAGCATTCGGTCAAAAATGGAAGTTGAAAAGCCCGGACGACATAAGCACTCCATCGCTTTCAGCAATGTCCAGGAGTTTGCCCAAAACTGTTTGCGGAGTTTCTTCGCTCTGACATTAAAAGAAGCCCATGCTTGTAGTCTGCTCCTCGGACGACACAAACATGAATGGACAGAAAAATAGGTGGCGGTAACTCGACGCCCCTCTGCAGCTAAAGTGAGCCAAGTGTCTCTCACCTTCCGGGCCCTGGGGGAGTTTGCAGGCAGGTTCCGGTACCTGGCTCAATTCTTTGGGCCTAACTCAATCAAACAAAGGTTCTATGGAAGCATGCTTCAGCTGAGCTTGCTGCTGGTACATGCTAGGCTGATTCCTGAGATGCAAAGCTTCGTGGTTTTCGTGTGACAAATTCACGAAGTCCGTACCCAGTCAAAGCAAAATGAATCTCATGCAATGATTCACTAGGAGCCGAGGATCATGAGAGCACGATTGCTTGCAAGAGGTGCTTCGATGACTGTGCTACGTGGTGACCGTGGCGACACCCTTGGCAGTGCATGAAGGATTACTGGCACCACGGACCAAACAAACAAGACATTCCCTTCTGCAAAGGAAATCATGAGCACCCTCCGCCCAAACCAAACAAAAAACATGCAAAATCACACTGAGCCCCATGAGAATGAGCTCCCTAAAGGATCTGCGATTCAGTTCCTCGTGTAAGTCACCCCATTGAGCTCCGCACCAGCCGGGAGCAATGGCTTTGTCTTCGTGCTTCTCGCGCAGATCGCCGATTCCCTCGCGCATCTGACCAGAGGCCAAATGCACCTAAGCAGCCCGAGTCCAAGTGACAGTTTGTATCGGGTACTCTAACTCGTGTAAAATGCATTGAATCCCTTTGATATCAAATTTGTCATAGTCACGTGTATGTATGTATGTATGTATGTATGTTTTTTTCCTAAAGAGGTTCTTTTGCTTCTGCAGATCTCTGGGCCCTTTTGGCCGTCTAGCAGCGCCGCTAGAAGTAGTCCACGTCAAAGACCATATCATCGTCTGTGTGGCTTTCTTCTTCGGGGTTCTCCGGTGTGCCTGCTTTGGAGCGCTGAGTTGGCTCTGGCTTTAGCTGTACTGCTGTTCGTAGAAGGTGCTTGTCTCCGGCATTCTGGCTGGGTGTCATGGCCTGTGCCGGGTCCTCTGCGTCTTCTCTGGCCGTGAGAGGCGTTGAGAAGTGTAGCCTTTTCGGCCTGGGTCCTGTGGTGGACAGTGGTGTTGCCAGCTCTGGTTGAGATTCAGCCTTCACCCCTTCAGCAGGAGTGGGAGGGGTGGGCCTGGAGGAGATTGCGGATGATCTGGACTCTGGTGAGCTTCTTGGTAGGCTGAGGTGCCTCCGGTCCTGGAGTGGGACAGGCCTGGTCGGCTTGCTGTTGTGTGCAGGTTTCTGCCAGCCGTTCTTCTAGCTGTTGTGCTGTCAAGCCCTGATGCATGCGTGTACCACATGTAGTGCATGCATATCCACTTCGTTGTGGAACCCAGCGGTGATGCGGCTCCTGCCATGTATGTATGTATGTATGTATGTATTTTTTTCTCCTCAAGGGTGTGCTGCTCCTGCACTTGTGGCCTCGCGACCAGGCTCAGAACGGATCAGAAGTAGTCCACATTGATGGAGGTTTCTTCTCCGTCTACGTCTGCATGTCCAGGGCTGGTTGCTTCTCTGCTCGAGGGATCTTGCTGGCTGGGTGTCATGGCCTGCTCTGGCTGGTTTGCCAGGGATCCCTGAGTGTGCTGATCTAGCATGGTGGGAAAGTGAAGCCGCCTGGGTGTTGGCCCAGTATCCAGGACGTTGGGCTCTGGTGGCTCGTTTTGCTGCTGAGGCGGTAGCCTGGGCTTCTTAAAGGTGGACTGCTCTTCCTGCGGGGCATGTTGGCTCGTGTGACTGTGGCCACTTGCAGTGTCCTCTGGACTCTTGGGGGATGCTTGTGTTGTTTGCCGGCGGAAGATCTCTTCAAGCGACGGTGACCCACTGCTACCTGCACCTTTGCAGGGTTTTTTGAAGCAGTGGTGTGGATGACCCTTTGTTGGCCATCTAAATGCAGACTCAAGCCACATTGGGTGCAAGTGACTTTGTTGCCCTTCTGCCAGAGGACGTGACTGCTATGTCCTGTATGGGTGTCCGTGTAGGGCTGGTCGAAACAGTGTCCTTGGACGAAAGCCATTGGCGCCACACTTGACACAGCGGAGATAGCCAGTGGTTTCCTCAAACTCATGCTGCTGCTGCGGTGTTGCTGCCGCTTTCTGCTGTTGCAGAAGCTGCTTGATGACCTGTTGCCTGGTCTGTTTTTTGGGCAGCGGCTGCTGAGGGCGTTCAGGCGTTGCCAACTGGGCCTCAATGCTGAGCTGCTGACTTTCTGCATTGATGTGTTCTTCAAGGGCTTGGACCGTGAGGCCTTGATGCACTCGGACTCCACAGGCCCCACATTGGTAGCCGCTCCTGTGTGGCACCCACCGGTGTGAAGGTGCCTGCCATGGGTTTGCACTGTGCAATGAGCTGCTTCTTGTAATGCTTGGTGTGCTTGCCTTGGTTCCGGTTGTGCTTCTGGTGAATGTAATGATCTTTGCTGTTGAAGAGCGCTGCCAGCCTGTTGATTGCATGTGCATAGATGAGTTTGCGGTCCTCATCTAACACCTTTTGCCATTCTGCGCTTCGTCTATGCTGGAAGGTCTTGGCCCGTTCCCATGCTGCTAAGGCCGCATCACGTTGTCGTCTCCTGAGTTGCGGCTCACTGCCTGGGGCTTGGGGTGAGGTGGTGTTTCTGGCCACATAGAGCACTGTTACTCTCTGGTAGTCTTGGTGAGTGAGCTGCTCAAGCTGGTCCAGGAATGGGCCCCTGTGTTGTGGTTGTGTCCAGGCCTCCCAGACACTGACGAGTTGCACTATGACCCGCACTGGTGTAGATGTGTGCTTGGCCAATGCCACCAAACCCTCCATGAGTGCCCTCGCCTTGTTGTGAGGTGCGGGTGGCGTGCCCGTGATGGCGGCCAGTCGCTGCAAATGGGTGAAGGACATGGTGTGGGCACATAGGCCAAAGATCCAAAGTTGATCTCGCTGGTCATAGCTGGATGGAGTGGCATCAAGAGTGAAAGCCCACCCTTGATGGGGGTGTGGTGCCAATTGCTGTAGATCTTGCCACGCCCCATGGCCTTGGTATGGGCGCAGCATGTTTTTGGCTTCTTGTGGTTCTAGAGGAATCCAGCCAGCTGTCCACAAAGGGGTCTCATCATCTGACAAGATGCGCTCTGCCCACTCCGCTGGCATTGGCTTGTGCTTTTGGGTCTGGCGCCACTTGCAGAGCCACAAGATGTGTTTTGTGGTGGCCGGGACTTTGCAAATGGGGCACTCTCTGGCTTTTCCATCCTCTTTGTAGTGGAGTGCAGCTTGTGTCCATGTCCGGAGGTGGGGTTTGTGCTCTCCTGGGATGGACTTGAACACTTGGCGATAAACATGCCAGTCTATTCCAGCAACCAGGCGCTGATGATTGGGCTTGCTTGCCAGCCTGGCTATGCGTTGTGCTGTGGCTTCCTGCCTCAAGGCCCTCTCAAGTTTCCACCACGGGTCTCTGAGTGTAAGCTCCTGCTCAAGGAGGTAAGCACAGCCAGGTCTGTGCCATCGATGGATGTCTTGCACTTGCCAGTTCCACTCAAGGAGGTATGCAATGGTGGCTGCCGTGGGCCCCCGCACAACATACCATGGATGTTGTTTGGCCTGGAGCTGTTGGTGAATCTCCATCCATGCTTGCTGCAGATGGGGAAGCTGGTCCTGTGGCCAGTTGTGATACAGGGTGTGCATGGCTTTGATGTGGTGCAAGATGACTTGATCTGCTGGGTCCATGTACTTATGGCCATGGAGGTCATACGTGCTGTCCAGGAGTCCCCCTGAGTGATGGCCCAGATGTGTGGCAAGAGCCTGCCTGAGGGCTGTGCGGTACCGGGGTGCCAGTCCTTGTGATTCAATGCCCCATAGCGCTACTGGCTGAATGCCTCCTTTATGTAGACGCAGGCGGACTTTGAGTGCTGGAATCTTCAGGGATCTCAACTTGACTCGCCGCTGTCTGGCTTTTTGGAACCTCTGTCTGAGTACTGGGATCCTTCTTCTCCGTGCTGCTTGGTGGTCCACTCCCAAGTCCCTCATCACAGTGGAGATTGGCGGCTCATGTTCTTGGAGTAGGCTTTGCAATGCCTTCTCAGTGCTGCGGTCTGTTGCAATGAAAGCTGTTTCTTTGGATTCACTTTGAGGCCAAGCTCAGTGAGGCGCTTGTGTAGATTTCTGTATGCTTCAACAGCTTGTTGGGCAACTTGGACAGCCGTGGAGCCCGTGAGATCGAAGCCTACATCATCAACCCAGCTGGACAGGTTTGCTTTTGGATGCTGTTCTTTCCAGGGAATGAGAGCTGGAGCAAGAACTGCCTTTGCCAGCAGTGGTGCTTGAGGACATCCAGCGGGTACTCCATGATCCACATGAAAGAACGGGGTCAGCTCTTGTTCAGCTAGTATGGCTTTCGGGCCACAGTAGAGCTGCATAGCCAGTTCCAGCATGAGGGGAGGGTAGTCCAAGCCAATGGCCTCCTCCTGTAGCCAAGAAAGGTTGATGGTGTCATAGAAAGTCGACATATCCATGAGGACGGTTATGCCATGATGTTGGCCTGCCTTTGTGACTTCTTGCCTCAGAAGTCTTTCCAGTGCCACATGCAAGACATTTGCGCCCGGTCTGGCCTTGTCGTGACTCATGCTTGGCGGCAAGTTTTTCTGCCATTGGTCCAGAAGTGGTTTCCTGAGGCGACACCAGAGTCTCCAGAGTGTCGACGTGAGGGTGATTGGCCGCTCTAGTTTCTGGTTCTTCGGAAGCATGACTACCAAATGCATTTGTAGTTGTGTCGGCAGCTCAGCAGTGCGCTCCATATGGTGGATCAACTGGAGGAGCGGTGTCAAAGCCAATGGTGGAATGGACTTGAGCAACTGGACAGAGACTGCATCCGGGCCACTGGCTCTTTCTGGAAGGGCTTTCAATGTTCGGTGCAGCAGCCCTTGCGTGATGGGCTCCAGTGTTTGGGCTTGTCTTTGGGCCATCTGCTGGAGATCAGGTCCTGGGGCCGGTGCATTGTCCTGTCTGATCTTCCATAGGCCCCCCCAATCTGCCAATCGTTGGTTCATCCTTTGTGGCATGGGTGTCATACGATAAGGGCGCTCCCAAGCTAGCTCGCTGCTCTTCAGACTGCGAAAGAGGCCTTTAAGGCCTTTTTGATGGCCTTCTTGTAGCCATTGGCGATACTGCAAAGTGCTTTCTTCGTGCGCATGCTGCTGTGCTTCTTGGAGTTGATGGCCAATGGTTTGTAGGATCAACTCAGCTGCATGGGGATCTCTATATCGAATCCAGTGATGGCAAGTGTCCATGAACTGTCCCCAGGTTGGTGCTCCCATCCATTGCTGATGCACTTGGGTGAGCCGCTGATTGAAGCCTCGGACAGGGCCTGTGTGGACAATAGCGGGTTGTTGAAGTGCCAAATGAAAAATCGCCCTGAGTTGATCCCAAAAGGCAACCTTCGCTTTGCGCCAGGTGTGTCCTTTGGGCTGGAGCATCAAAGGCTTTGTGACTGCCTGCAGATGATGTCCTCTTCCCTGGGCCGCCCAAGGATGCTCTTGGAGGAGGTATTGCTCCGTTTTGGAGAGCCAATCTGCCCAGGACTGTGCAGCTGGATTTGGCGGAATGCCATACAGTTCAATGTTGTGAGCCTGAGATTGATACGTTGTCCATGGCCGGAAGTCAATGTCAGGGACCTTGGGCATTGGTGGGAAGTAGGGCATCTGTCTATACTCCATGGTTGCCGCTTCAATGTCAAACTTCACCTGGAGCAACGCATGTGGTCGCCACGGCGCAGCCCATTGTGCTTGTATAGATGCGGTGCCCGCCAGTGAATTGTGTGGTCTGGTGCCAGTATGCTGGCCAGAGCACTGGGTTGATTCTGCCAGTCCCCTATGAGCACAAAAGGGTGCGTGGTGTGGGTCAGCAGAGTCAGCAGTTGAGCAAGAATGGCCGAGTTTGTGTCACTTTGAAATGTTTCACCCGTCCTCAAGTATAGGCCTACCACTAGGATGGTGGTTTCAGTGGCCTGCCAGAGAAAGCTTTGGAAGCCGCATCCTTTGTTGGTGTAGGACTGGAACTGTGTCAAAACACAGGCAGGATCAGCCATCACCAGAATGCCACCATGTGTGCCGGTTTGGTCCTGATTTGGTTCAGCCGGAGTCCCAAAGACTGTGCGTCCTCTGATACTGAAGTATTGACACAACTCGAAGTGCTTTTGTGGGTCCAGATGTGTCTCAGCAAAAATGTATATGCCACTGTCTCTTGTCCAATACCAGTCGATGACCTGTCTGCCAAAATTTGTGACGTTGGCAAAGTACAAGGAATTGTGACCCTGCTCAAATCTGGCCCTCTTTGTGGGACTTGGGTGAAGCGGTGGATCGAAATCCGGTTCTTCTGCAGGCGGTAGTCCCTGTAGCACTTGTTGCGGCGTCTTGAAACAGTCAATGTTCACTGCCCAAATTTGTGTGATTTGGCTGGCCAAGTTTGGAGTGAGGTGTGGCAGGTGTGTGGGAACCTTGCCATCATCAGCTAGCCACATGAGGTCGCGGTAGATCAAGATGGCAAAATAGTGACCTTCTTGATGGGTCTGTCCTCTGTGACAGATCAGCACTGCCGGCACAAACTCTGTGGAAGTTCGTGAGAATCCATCAAGCGATCGTGGCATAGTGAAGGTGCCGTAGGGGTTGAAGGGCTTTTGATGCTTCGTCATCACCCCTTCTATGCAAGTGTTGCGAGTGACATGGCAGACCAGGATCTTCTTGTCATCCATCAAGTACTGGCCCATGCCTTGATTTGCCCAGTTGTTTATCAATTGCTGGAAGGAAACATCATCAGGCCAGTCATCCGGATATGGCACCAAAATGGGCTGCTGGACGTGGTCAGTGAGGTAACCTCCTTCTCGAATTTCAGCAAATCGATAATGAAATGCACGGCTCTGGGAAAGCAGCCACAAGGAGTTGACAAAGTGGTTGGCATCACCTTGAACGTTTAGGTCATGCTGCTTCCAGAGACCTCGCAAGCCTGGTAGGGCCTGAAGGTCCACAGACTCCGCTGTGTCAATGGACTCTTGTACCGCCTCTTGTAGTGTGCCCCAAGGTTGTGTGCTGGTTTCCTGCAGCAAAGCGCACACCCATGTGAATGCCCGCCAGGGGGCATTGGCAAAACACCGGAGGCTTGGATTGCCAACCACCATGGTGAGGTTCTGGAGGATGCAATCTGTTGACGTGGCGTAGTTCTGCATACCAGAAGTCAGTGTCGTTTGACTGCCGGTTGTCGGAGAGTCGGCTGGTGCCCCTCCTAGTAGTTCAGGCCATCAGTCGCCCGGGGATCCGGTGTGCTAGAGCTGATCTGATGTTGTCTGCGCTGTTCAAAACTGAGTAATGTTTGCTCAGGGCTACCCATAATTGAGTGTTCCCTCTCAATGGTAGTGTTGAGCTCCCCTGTGTTCGTGTCAGCTGTTTGAAGTGCAATGTCCCCTGCACTCATTGTAGCTGAGAACCCACGTTGCTGCTCTGAGCCTGGGACAGCGCGGCAAACCGTTTGTGGTGGTGATTGCACTGCCCGTGGCTGATCCGCATCAACAAAATCTGAGAAATCTTCATTTGAAAGCTTTGAAATCGGACTTCCAAGGCCATCACATGACACCATGTCATCGTCCGGAACTGGGAAAGTCCACCCCTGAAACATGAAAGAGCTCATGTTACCCACAATGTCCAGGTTTCCCATGTACGGCCGTCTCGGTTTTGCGCCGCTTGGTGGGGTCCTCCTGATCCTGATTTGGTCGTTTCAGGAGACCATGGAGCTGATTCTTCTGCTCTTCAGTCAAAGAGATGCCCAAACTATGGACAAAAGATTCAACTGCCATGGGAATCTGTTCAGCTTCTCCATTGGCCACCGGCAACTCAGAAGGTGCTGGTGTCTGATTGGCTGCCTTCATGTAGTCGTCAGAGAGGCTCTTGAGGGATTGCTGCCCTTCGGTGAGCTTGGTTTGGAGTTCCTGCATGTCTGTCAAGAGGGCAGCATACTGTGCCTTGACATTGTCGATCTTGGCCTGGAGTTGGGTCTTCTTCATGGACAGGTTTTTGAGCTCTGTCACACGGCCTTTGAGTTTGGCCGCAATCTCTCTCTCTCTGTGCATGGCTCAGGCGTGGTCAGTTTGTTGACCAGATCTTGTACTTGCTGTGGTAGCGCCTCCATGTGATACTTGAGGACATCTTTGAGCTCAGGTTCATCTGGCTTTGCAGGTCCAATGCCAAGTGCCTGCAAGCGAGTCTGAGTGTCCTCAGGCAGGGTAGTCCAGGTGGTAGCCAAGAGGTCAGTGGCCTCCTGTTGGACTTTGGAGATTTTGAGTGGCCTGACTTTCGGGAGTCCCGGTGGAGCTTCTGGCCATTGGCGGTTTGCCTTGGTCAGCTTGCCTGAGGGCTTGCCATACCCTTTTCCTTTGCCTGTGTTCGTCATCGTTGTCATCCACATGGTGCCACATCGACGACACCTGGTGCCAGGGTACATCTTGTCCTGCCAGATCCAGTTGTTGCATGTGGCTTGGCTGCATGGGGTGTAGGTTCTGCACCAGTCCATGATCACTGCCCCGAACACGTTCTGGCCGAAGGCTTCTGCAGGGATGAAGGGATTACGGGCAAAGTGGTAATGCACAAAGTCCCTAAGGTTGTGCTTGTACCTCAAGGTTTCGTAGACCTTGAACAGGGCGAGAACTGCCAGGTTCCAAAGAGCTCGTCAAGGGTGTGCTCAGGGAGGTCGGGATTGCGAGCAAAGGAGTCCAGTGCCAAGGTCGAACTGTGGAAAGTCTATGGCTCTTACTCCTGTACCCGGTTTTGTATGGGACCGGCTTGAGTCCTCAAATGTCTTGAGCCATGTATGTATGTATAAATAATGTATGTATGTATGTATGTATGTATGTATGTATGTATGCATGCATGCATGCATGCATGCATGTATGTATGTATGTATGTATATATATTATATATGCGCGCGTGTGTGCGTGTGTGTATATATATATATGTGTGTATATATATATATACAGTGTATATAACCAAAGAAATCAAGGGTTCTCCAAAATACCACGGAGATTTCAGCAAGTGCAGACTCATGTGCCAATTTCTTGCCCGGGTATCGAGCATAATGAGTATCGGTTTGGCATGTTTGGCACCCAAAAAGTCGTTAGAAATCTGACCTCCGACTCCAAACCCGTGAATTTTTTAATGGCTTAGCACGGGTACATCACGGGTTCTACCTCACACGCGTCAACAAAACATAGTAATGGAACGAAATGGAAAAGTATTCAACCAGATAACCAACTGGATCGTTCAGCATGTAAAGGGGGTACAATCAGCATTGCCTCAGCAGGCAGACTGGGAGATTACCCGAAGTTTTCCTCGGAAACCCGGTGTGTTTTTCATTTTACAAGAATACCGGGGGTGGTTCGCATACCCGAAGGAAAAGTTAGGGGTGGATACACAGAGAGAGAGGGAGAGAGAGATGTTTTGTCCATTCTGGGTTCACTGCAAAGACGTGGTCGTGCAAAAGAGCTGTTGGCTCACAGTCATCTCGGACGTCATCTGTCCATGTGAAATTCTTGGTCTCGGACCCTTTTCCTCTCAGAAGGTGAGAGGGCATCACCGGCATCAGGGAGGGCACCCATCGATTTGCTGGCTCTCAGATCGCGCCTGCAGGCAAGGCAGGGCGGACAAACCCTGATTCACTTTGCACAAATACCCACCCTTTCCTCAGAAAGTCTTCCCATTTGCGGGTCTCCTTTCAGTCAAACACTGGTGAGGAGTGAGGTGGCCCACAATCTCTCCGAAGACTCCGTCTTATGGAACGGTGCATGGACAAGCAGTTCGGACCTGCGTCGGGCAATCTCCGAGGATGCTTGTTTCCAGGACCTCAAGGGCGAGGCAAAGCAGAAAATGAGTCCATCGACTCGAATTGAATCGCTCTGCAGGCCGTGAGTGCGGCAATACACCGGAGCGTATCGGGTTTGCTGTGTCATTCTAAAGCCAAGAGTCGCAGCATCATAGCAGGACCGTTCCTCCTGATGAAAAACAGTGCACACACACAGTTGTCCAAAAATGATCGAACATCATGCTGCACCAGCTGCTCCTCCCAAACCTTCTTCTGTCGGGGAGTTTCTGGCACTGACCTGACGCAAAGAGCATGTGGCCATGCATGCGTACTGTACCGTATCTGCGAACTGATGCCACATCCTTCAGGGCATAGCTTGGCGAGCCTTGGAGACCAGTTTTCTACGTCCTCTCGACTTTGGTGAATTAGGCTGCCTTAGCCAGCATCAAGAGCCAGAAATCATCTGACCTAAACAACACGCTACGAGTTTTCTGTTCTCTTGTTTAACATGTGTGCAAAGTCAATTGAGCAGGAAGAAGCATGCCGAGAAACCAGTCGTCTCCTCATCGCGCCTCCCTGAAGTAAGAAAGAACAAAGACTCTGGCTCTCACAAGCGAGGCTTTTTCTCACGGCAAAGCTGAGACAAACACCCTGACGCTCTGCAATCAGTCGTGATTTTTCAGTACTGGGATTCATCCAGTAGACTTGGGCTGTATCTTGCCTTAAGCTCACCACGTCTGCAACTGCTGCACTTCTAGCAGAAATGGGAGACAGCAAGTCAAGCACACAAGGAGAAAGAAAAGCTTAGGATGACACAGTTCACTCCGCCGTGGGGTTCGCGGAGAGGTCTCAACCCGGCCAGTCAGGTCGGAGAACTGGCTATTACTTCGCCTCAAGCCATCATTGCCCGCATCACCTCAAATCCAGCACAAAAAAACATTACCCAGTACATCCCAGTACTAATTCCAAAACCTCCCCTCCACGTGAAACGACAACGACTTGTGCTTTAAGACTTTAAGGCATGGAAGGTCTGCCACTGAGTAGCGCATTGCTTTCATGGCCGCATTGCGTGGGCTGAGGGACTTGGACGTCGGAGAGACGGCAAAACCATTCAGTTGGCCTCGGGTCGCAAGGCACTCAATCAAATCCAATTCCTGACTTCAAAAAATACAAATCAAGAAGGATATCAAAATCAATGTCGTCTCAAATATCTCGCTATCTCAATCACATTTACTCAGCACGTTCTACAATGAGCTCTTGATTCTCAGAGGTCTTGCTCCCTCGCCTAGGCCGAAGTGACAAACCGGGCTTTGAAACGCAGGTGGTGCCAGGTGGCTTTCCGAGGTGGCCATCTCATTGGCTTTCTGCTGTCTGGGGCTCAAGGGAAGCCTCACGGCCACAATTCTCCATTCTTACCCCGAGGGCCCCAATGCTCGGCTCTAGACTCGAGAAGGTGTCATTGATTGAAAACGGTCTACTTATTTGAACACAAACAGCATCAAGCAACCCGCTAACCAAGAACAAAGGCTGAGGCTGAACAGCATGTCGGAACAAAGAGTGGACTGATTGTACAGAATCTCCAGCTCTGTGCTTTTCTCGATTGCAGGGTTCGTCTTGCGGATTCCGCACCAACGCCCCGAATTTTGCTCTTGACAACGAAATTGCATGGGAACTTCTCACTGAGCCGAGCACAACACAAATAATAACAGGAGGCAATCGCAAAGAAAGTTGGTGAGAAGATTGCTTACGTCCTTTGCCTGGTCTCGTGAAGCGCATAATTGCGAGGCGACGAGCTGCGCGGTGACAGGCGCGGCGGCTGTGAGTGAGAAGTCCTGGTCTGCTGTGACACGTGGACCATTTCTATCGGAACTCGAGTGTCTCAAACGTGCATTGCGAGCAAGGTTCGGGTGTGACTTTGGAGTTCCGCCCAAGACTTGTGAGACCAGATCACGCTGTTTTCGTGCCTGGGCAAAAGCAGAATGGAACTGAAGCAGCTGCTCAACCCCTCACAAGTGTATGCCAAGTCTTACATGCCACGGCCATCTAAGGCGAAAGCCCCAGAGCTAAGCTGCGTCCAAGAATCGCGGGCCTCCTTCACAAATCGGACTGACATGAATGTGAGATATGAACATACCAAATACACCAAAAAGATCACTCGAAGGCTAGATAACTTATTCTTTTTAAGGTGCCCTTTAAAGGGACCAATTCTCTGGTCCTTGTGCCGGATCAACTCCCCTCGCGTGTCCAACGTGCTCATATTCGTCGTCTGTGTCCAATATTCGCTGGTCGTTTTCAGATCGACCCCTGGCAGGTCCAAACAAACTACGAAACCCCATGAGTTTGCCATCACAATATGTCATGAGCAGAATGTCAGCAGTGCGGTTGGGCCACTCTTCGCCGTCACTTCTGCTGGCTCCTAGGTTCACAAAGGCCCTGCCATTCGTTCAGTGTGCCAGGTCTTCTGGGAAGCTGACATCCTCCACAAAGAACTGCACAGAAGCCTTCTTCTTGGGAGAAGTGCTGCAGCTCAGGCCACCCTTCTTCCTCGGATCATTTAAACTAGCTCCCGAGCTGTGTGGCCTAGAATCCTGCGATGCCAAGTCTCGGCGAGCCATCGGTGACTTGTACGACGCCACTTCCTCACATGGTACGAGGATTTTCCTCCCCAAGCTTTTTGAAGGTGAACGTCCGTCTGGCAAAAAAATCAACATAGAATGAAGCAAGCAAGACACCTTGAAGCATGGTTGCCTGGCAGGGCGTCACGGAGGAGTATCAATCAAAGAATAAGATGCGCATATATAACTACATAAATATATACATATACAAATAATGATATATAATGATATATATATATATAATAGATAAAGGAGATGTCTGCATTTGGAGAAGGCTGATCAAATATCGTTGCCCTCCCATCGCGCCTTGCAATCTCGGGGGCTGGGCAAGGAGACCCTCACCTTGACCGGAGCAGCGCGAGCCTCAAAAGACGATCGAATCGAGTGGATCACGTATGGTTACAGCAACGCTGATGAGAACAACATAAGAAAAGGACATACATCGGTCATCAGTTCAAAGTGTTGAAACAACAACTTTTACTCTTCAACTCCTTGGACGCTCGTCAAAAAACAAACACAAAAAAACTCCGAAGCTGACCTTCTGTGTGTCTGTGCTAACTTGCAGTTGTCTGCTCGGATCCTGAGGCTCAAGCTGGGGAGCAAACAAGTGGCAGCTAGCGACTAGGGACTGTCTAGTGACTGTTGGCAAGATTTGGCAAGCATTGAGTTTGCTGATGAGGCACTCCAGGATTCTGATGGTCCGCCACCATCGATCCCTCATTGGAGAATGAAGACGCGTATTGTGCCTGGCTGAGGGTACAACCGGAGACAGAGGATGAAACATGTGCAAGGTGAAAGTCCGGCATTTGTTCAGCCCGGCTTTAAAGGCTTTATCTTGCCTGCTTTCGCTGGCGTGGGGTCACTGGATCCTTCGACGCCTTAGGGCTCTGCACCTCAAGAGTGAAAGCAAAAGCATCTGCACGTGAGATCGTTCAAGTGAAATCGGCACGAGGGGGCTGGCCAGCCAAGGACCTCATCAGTCGACCAACTTCCAAGCCTTTCTTTTAGCCCATTGCCCTCACCCTTAATTAACTTAACCTATGACCTGTCTGCGCCTGTGGCTTGCAGGGCCTATTCGTTTTCCAAATCTCTCCTCTGAGAAGTGGAGCACGCCTTCTCAGAATCAAGCCGCGAGCCTGTCTTCAAGTAAGTAAGGACCTCCCCTGTTCAAACTCAAATCTCTCCTGTGAGGCAAATCGCCCTCGCACAATTAGAACGGTCTTCTCTTTACGGAACCCCTCTCTCCTCTTAAGTCTTATGTCTCATATTGTCTCACAATAAAGCTAGTCTTCTCGCCAGAAAGCCTTGCCAATCCCAATTCAAAGGTGCCTTCTCGTATTCAAGTTTGTCTTTTCGCGATGGGGCCTCCCGATTCTTCGTCCGACTCTCTCGTCTCATATCTTCCGCACAATGTGCAAAACCAGTCTTGTAATCAAACCTCCATAAACCTCCCAGCTCGGGATGGGACCTCTCCGTTATTTTTCTTATCAGCAGAGGTGCCATCTCATAATCATTTCTACACACGATGGGTCCTTTCTATTCTACTTTCAAGATCTTCTCAGAATCTTCTCATAACCACACCAGCTTTTCTCCAACGCTTCTTGACATTCTGGTCATTCTGGTCTTTGGACCCGCGTCTTCGTGAAGGTTTTCCCCAGACAGCTCTGCCACAGCAATGCTTTCTAGGCCTTCTACCTCCTTTAAAATTGTCCTGGGTACCTTGAAGAGGTCATGTGGGTTCATGGTTTGAAGAAAATGGGCCGTTCATATACAATGGTCGAAAACATGGTCAAGTGCTGGCTACCTGCACTCAAAATTTGACCTTTCACTAGTCAGCTCTGCTGAGAGGCTGCATTTGGCATGAGGATCTCTGATGGCCATGCTTGAAGACCCACCATGGCTGGCAGTGTCGAGTGGTCTTTGGGCTGCCAAAACTCTGCGGCTATGGAAGAAACGAGGACATTATCAATGGAAGCAAGCATGTGAAAGCCGCCATCCACATCATGATACCATGACATGTTCTCTTCAAACCTTGCCGGGAGCGCTTCTCTTCTTCTGGATTGGTAACCCTCCACCTTGCGCGTGTCGAGTCGGGGCTTTATGCTTTAGGTGCATTGCACAGGGTCCCGCGGTTTGCAAAAACTTGCCAAAGCTATCCAAAGCATGTCAGCAGGCTGGTCAACAGTCTGGCCTTTGCTCCTGTGGGTTCCGTCGTGGTCGAACATTCAGGCGATGCACTCGCATCACTCCCCCAAGATCTGCTGTCCTTTCAAGTCGACACACCCAAACTGATCAAGTCGACACTCCCAGACCCCGAGTCAAAACATCCAAAACCGCTCTCATCTTAAAGACATCTTACTTGTGATTCCGGATGTCTTGTCTCAGGTCCAAACGCGACAATGTACTCATCCTGCTTCAGGAAGCGCATGCCACATCAGCTTAGATCTACCCTCTATATATAAGCCTCTTTGAATGCTTGTTTTATCGTTTCCACAATGTCACTTCAACTCGATTCTGCCGAATTCTTCAAGATCAGAATCCGAGCCTGCATGGGGGAAATTGCTAGTTGTGCCACTGCCTGCAAAGCATTGCATTCAGCCAACAGTGGCCATGCATGAATATACTTTGCACAGGCTGCACAAATCAGAAAACACCCATATCTTCATGTCTTCCGTCTGTCTGACCTGTTTGTGCCCAGACGAGAACGTGTAGAGCAGGTCTCCTGACCTCAAGGGTCAGGATGTGCTCAATATTGCTCAATCAATCCCCGCAACTTCTGGTAGTGGCCAATCCAATATCAACGCACTCAACGAACTGGAAATTCAGGGAAATTGCTGGGCTGGAGACACAGTGAAGAGGCAAATGTCTCTATCCTCTTGCACCTGAACTCAAATTCAATGATCTGGAAGTCTGGAAGCGCCCAGAATGCAGATTTGCTTGATCGTCTTTGGACTTCAGGATCTCACTTGCCTAGCTCTTTTTCTGGTGTGGGAGTATGGGCTGTCAAGGTTCTCCTGTACACTGTACATTGTTTGTGCATAACACTCCTCTTAGAGGAACTCTCCGGGCTCTACTCCGTTCGGCACCGCTTAGGTGGGCAGCGGAGAGAAAAAAAGTGTAGAAGGTAGACTAGACCATCGAATCACAGGTCAATCGAGCAAACTATGCAAACCGGGCGATTAATCCACCTCGAGGGTTCGCCAAGGTCTCGGATCCAACAGTGGTCCAATCAAAGCCTTTTTCCACCTTCGCTTCCAGGCTTCATCCGTCTGGATGTGATTCGCTCGAATAAATTTGGCAATTTCATCTTGGAAGGCTCCACCCGAAATGGACGATGAACGTCGCACCACAAAGCCTGATGAGGGCAGAACACGAAAGCGGGGCTTTTGGTGCCCTGGCAGCCAACAGTCAACTGCAAAGTGCCAAGCTTTCTGAAGCAATCTGCCATGTTTCAACTCTTTCACTTGCACCTACATTGCACGTTTGTGTCGAATGTTTCGCCAAAAGGCCTTCAGGACTAACATCCGCCCCAACTGCTGAAGCTTCGTTCTTCCACTTCTCCAGGCATTTTTGTAGCTGAGCTGAGGAGGAGAAATGGCCACGGAATACGAGGGGCACCTCAGTTGTGAGGTCCTTCATGTTTGGCCCCTAATTGTGAAGCTCATGTGCACTTCGCCTACCTCTAATTATATATATATATACACAGTAGATATGCACACAGTACATGCTGTCTGTGTCTGTCTCTCCGTGGACGACGTCAATGACATTCAATGACCTGCTGTTGGGCCACTGTCGGGAGATCCAACTGTTCTGCCAGCGCCACTGTGTCGTCCCAGCTCAGCCAGGTTGTTCCTCGTCGAGCCGCGAAAACCTGAGTGATGGCACCATCCTTCGTTTCAAAATTGGCGATTGCACAAGCACAGAAACTCGTGGCAGGCTGTGGGGAAAAAGGTGATCTCTGACGCAACACCCTCGTACCGAGCCCCCAGTGCCCACTCAAGCGGCCTACCCAGGTCCAACGTGACCCAGGTCGTGAACTACAACCCCAAAGGAAGTCACCAAACACACCACCAACGGCGCTACCACATTCTGAGAAAGCATGACCTCAACATACCTCAACCCAAGCAGCGTAGAAGAAACTTTGCAAGTTTCCATATTCAATGCTGTGCACTCCCTGCATGTTCTCCCCAAAAAGCTGCAGGTCATGCAATTGACCTCCAAAATTTGCTGCAAGCTCCTTAACAGCAGAGAAGGACTCGTGTGTAGCTGGTTGCGCATGTGTGCGGCCAAAAACTTGACCATCTTTCAAGCAGCAATTGCCACCGTCCAGTTTCTCGGTTACTACGACTTCTCCAGCCAAAAGATGCGCGCAATCGGAGATGCACGTGTCATCCTCATTGACACCTGGCGAAAATGGCAAGTGGGGTGTCTTCGGGTAGTTGTCTTTGACCACCATGGTTGAAGCTTCTGAATATCCGGGTGCACTGGGTAGGCCCAGTTTTTTCTTGCAGTGTGCGATGGCTTGAGCGATTCGCGTCTCTTCCACTTCACGTTCTTCACCTGGAAGCTCCTCCACTTGAGCCTTTGCTGCTTCCAGCGCTTCCAATGCCTCCGAAAGGCGACTCAGCATCACCAAAGCAAACGCACGACTGCAGCGGCCCCTGGGGTCCGATCGCAGCTGCAACAACTCATCGGCAAGCACCAAGACCTAGGCAGTCAGTGCCCAGAAATGGACCCATAGTGTGCTGTAATAATTCATGATGTGTGGACTCAAGACTAGATCACACACAACAACATTCTGCAAAAGCCCCAATGATCCCAATGTGCCCAACCTTGCTCGGCTGCTTCAGTCGCCCGTGGTAAAGGCACAAGGTCTGCAAGGCCTCAACATGCGCGGCGGTGTCTGAATGATGGCGCGCTCCCATCAAAGCAGTCTCCAGAAGCAGCTCAATGCTCTCAGAGAAGGGCCCAATTTCGGGTCCAGTGGCCAACGGAGATGCTAGTTGAAGTAGTCGAGCTAAAGAAGTTGCATCGGGAGCAGCGCTCAAAGTGCCTACCCCTTTGCTCTTGGAGTGCACATCGCAGCCCTGAAATCCCAAAGTGATGTGGAAATCCTTGGGTGGGAGAGCAAGCTTCTCACGCATGGCCGCAGCAGCCGGCCACAGCACAACACGAAAAGCAGATTCTCCGGAAGCATCCTTGCAAGTGCCAGTTCCCACATCGACCCAGTCCCACGTGGAACTGATTTTGGCTAGGAGCAAAGCAGCAGCTCTTGCAATGTCAGCCATGTCTGTGGCACTCGGAGTCTGGATATCATTCTCACTCCAAGCCTGTGTGCCGTCATGGACTTGGCCAGCCAGGAGTTGAATATCAACTTTGCTCAGAAACGTCATGTGATTGTCTTGACCATCCCTTTTTTGACGTTGCTGCACCCACGCTGCTGCGACATCATCGAGGCCTCTTTGCGACGCCTGCAGAAACATATCTGACTGTGGTTGCGCATTCTTGGGGGAAGCAATTCAAATATCCCATGTCAGTGTTGTAGTTTGTTAATTCAATCTACCATAGTCTCTGTAGACCGCATCTCCCCCACAGGCCTGCTGAATGGCTTCTCCAGTTACCGCAACAACCCCACGGCAAAAGGTCAGCTGCTGCCCCGGGCCCGTGAGCAAAGCCATGACTCGATGGGCTAAGTCCGAGAGAGAAGCTAAAATGGATTCACATGCACACAATATACTAGGACGCTACTAGGGGCTCCTGGCCTTACTACAAGAAGCTACTAAAACTTCTCAGCATGAGACTAAGAAAACTCTTGACCTCGCATTTATGCCTACGCTATTGAGGGTGTCTCAAACATACTCATGATTGAGAGCAGCAATTGTAGTGCAGCCAGCACACCCCTCTGTGATCATGGCCCATGGTGCAAGAATACTGAGCTTAGTTGCAGAGTGGGCGAAAAGTAGTACAAAGATGTACAACATGGATGAACATGTTGAGGCAAGAAGACCTGGCAAGCTAAACTACAAACCCCAATCTGAGCGTGAGACAGCCACCACCAGGACTGTGGGCATTGCAATCTGCATGCGAGCTGGTTGCTTCTAGGGGTTTGTGAAGCAGCCCAACATACATCTACCTTGTTTGCAATTCTGGTATTCAAAGGGACTCTGCCTCATCTAGTCTCACAGTGTGTTCGTTGAAGCCATTCCAGTCTCCTCCCCTCCCCAACCGCAGGGCGCGCCTGTGAGGTCGGGGTCGGTGCCGTCGACCGATGATTCCTCCTGCAGGTGCCGTCGACCGGTGACTCGCCACTCGCGAGGTGCGCGTGCGCAACGACTCAGGGAGCCGCAACGGCAAAAGCCCGAGGAGCGTTGCAGCTGACCTCCGTGGTTTCCAGGGCCACGGAGAAGGAAAGTCGGCAAAAGTCTGCAGAGCACAGCTAGGCATCACACTCCTGTGGCACCACCTGGAAGCTCGAACAGACTGGAATGCTAAGGGATGAAGTGTTGCACCACTTCCAGTATTGTTGTTTCGGTTGTTGACCTTAGTTCTTGCTAAAAGTTCAGGTAAGCGTTCTGCCGCTTTCGATACCACAAAGTCGTTGGGAGCTGCGGCTGTGGAGGTGGCACCTCCTCACAAGCCCAAGTCCGCCCAGGGCTAGCAGCATACCGCATCCGCATCTCCCGCCAAAATAGAGTAATTAGTGGAAGCGAAATGCGCCTAAAGACTTCGTTTCCCCAAACTCCGCGTCATCCTCCTCCTGCAATGGGGAGGCAAGTAACTTGGGCCATGGAAAAAGCTGCCACCATGGCGAAGTCCTCTGCATGAAGTCGCCCAGGTGGTGCCTCAAAAGGAGAGCTTCAAGCGACCCCAAACGATCGAAGGCTCCCTCCTCTCTCCTTTCTCTCCACTCTGTCTTCTCATCTAGGCCCCTAGGCTTTGTCCCTTCAAGTGCGACATGTGCTGTGAAATTGTTGTGCATAAAGTGATACATACATAAATTCTAATATATATATATATATATAATACATACACATCCACATGCCGATGCATCCACTCTCACCAGTGCCTGAAGCCTGAGGCGTTTACTCCACCAATGACCTGCTCTGACAAAGGCGGGACACCCTCGAGCAGCGCGTGAACCTGGGAGTCGTGATTTCTCTCCATCTGCAGCATGCCTGAAGATTGTCTCATGGTGACTCAGACGCTGCCGCCCTTTTTTCACATATGCACTGAAATCGCCACTGCTCAAGCAGTTGTTTGTGGCGATCTGGGGCATCTTCCTTGGCTTGCTGTTCAAAAGCGGCCGAGTTGGGGCTCAATTATAGTGTATAAACTCCGAAGATTTTGGCATGTTCCCTCGATATAGTGTGCAGTAGGAAGGGGTGTGTGGCGAATGTTTGGTCAGGGCTGGCGCACTGTGCAAGCAATTTGCATACTAAGCGACTAGATATTCGATGGTCACCTGCGCAGCCGTCTGTTTGCGTATGAGTGTGTGGACTGCTTCACAGCGCACGCTTAAAGAAGCTAAACATTAGGCTGGCAGCTCTTCAGGTTATACATTTTAAAACTCGGTTGCTGTAAGCCTCCTCTCCCTCATCTAGATCGTTCAGGGCTTGCAGCACTGCCCATCCACGAAGCTCTGGCAGTGGCAGGCATGACTGCAAAGTGCCTGAGTCAGAACACACTCACTTATTTTCCTGCACCCTGAACTCTATCACTCTATCATCAGCGTAGAGCAGCTGAGTTCCAAACAATTCGGCTTGCAGTCATGGTTCCTTGAACACGCAAACAGTATACCCCGCAAAGCATTAAGGAAACGACTGTAGACTATAAAGACCCTGGCCCTTGCACACCAAATTCAACACCATGCTGCCATGCTGCATGCTGATTCTTCCCGGCTAGGCGCAAGGGCTTCGCCAGCAGAGTCGTCACATGCCGTGTTCTCCGTGCAGCCGAGCATCACCGCCGACGCCACGCAGTACACTGCCAAGCCACGCGCCACAATGGCACCATCTTCAGATGGAACAAGGACCTCCACAGCATTCCTCAGATCACTCTCAAACTCAAAAAGATAAGAAAAATGACACTGGGCTGCTGTAGAAGCCCATGGTCCCTACATCACTGGCCGCTTCAAAAATGTAGCATTCAGATGTACTTCCTCCTAGGCAGCTGTTAGTGGATGGGTGTCAGAACAACCAAGACCAAGCTTCATCCGCACCTGCCCCACCAGTTTGGCCATATCATTGACGCCAAAGTTGGGCGGCAAGGGGATGAAGTGTTGCACCAACTCCAGTATTGTCGCGGTTGTTGACCTTGCTTCTTGCAAAAGTTCAGGTGCCAGGGCAGCGGTCTCCCACCATGGAGCTCCCCAAAAGCCGTCCAACAATGTGAAGATGCTGCTGCGGCCATCAGTGGCATCAGGACATGTTGACATGGCACCTTTGGCCAACAACTTCAAGGCCAAGCGAAAGGCCTCCCCAACATTGCCCAGCTCCACTAGGAGCTGCTCAAGGTGCTCGAGCTCTATTCTGCTGGATGCACGAAGGAAATCATGCCCTGATGCCCAGGCGTCACTGACGCATTGCTCACAACAATATGTAGCGCGACAGAAGCTGCACTCACCAGAAGTTTGGACGTCTTCCGCATCTTTCTGCCTGCAGGGACGGTGGGCCCTGGGCTTGACACGGGACGGCCCAACAATCTTACAATCCTAGATGCGTGTTTGCAGCACGGCCACGTTCCATGGTGCAGGAACTGGGACCCTCCAAGAGTTGCCAGCACCCGTCCTTAAGGGAAGTAAACAATGCTCGCAGGCCACTGTATCTTCCCTGCTGCTTTGAAGCTGGATGATCGCCAAGGGTGGCTCAGCCAGTAGGCAGCACCCAGCTTCGATTGAGGCAGTTGTCCTGGCGTTTGCATCGCCAGGACAAATGTGCCTCATCAAAGGCCACTCCCAGCCACCCCGCCTGACACCAAAGCCTCACGCATGGAAGTGGAAACAAAATTATAAAGGCCCTGCACAACTCCACGCGAGTTTCATCAATGGCATGTAATAACATCAAACTTGTGGCCTTTGTCTGGTAGCGCTATCAGCTCCAACGAAGAGCCTTCAGCTGCTAAGAAGTCTCGTCGATGCCTGTGCCAAGTTCAGTCTTGCTTTGCGTGATCCTCATGATGCCGATGTTACAAGCAGTGCAACTCATGATCAGAGCATTCTGGGTACAGCTTAGGTGAAATGGGTTTGTTTGCAAAAAGTGGTCTCACTCCAAAAAACCTAAAAATCTACTCAAAGCCGCACCAATTTTGGTGCATGTGTGCCCGTCGCATGTTGCAACCTTCGTCGTCTGTGCTGCCAAAGCCCTGTCAAACCGTTCGCTTCAAAGTCTTCAAACAACTGCCAGCAGGGCTTGGAGAGTTTAGCGTGGCCAAGCTGGCACTTCATGTCGTACGCAACTCCGGTTGCTACCAAGGTGCTGCTGTAAATCAACGTGCCTATCATCCAACAGTGTTGCATCCATCACGCACAGAAAAAGCTAATGTGAGCTGTGAACAGCTTGAGCTAATCTTGCTAAAGACCAAGCATGTGTGGCATAAAGTGGATGGGCATGTGAGAAATGGCCGGATGCTTCCCCTTCATGTGGATGTTTCTTCCCCTTCATGTGGCTTTACTTCACGTTTGTCCTCTTCAAGATGAACAGTGTGCCCCTGTTAAGTTGTCTTTGTTCTTCTATTATTGTGCTGTGCTTGCAGGCTTTGTGCACTCTGCATGTTTCACAACTTCATGGAATGGACTTCTGTTTTGACACGATGTGGCTGAGTCAATCGGTGGCTCTTGGTGTCGGGAATCGTAGTGCAGTCAGGACACCCGTGATCCAACACTTTGCTGAAGCTGAGAGGGCGACGCTGGCTTTTGGAAGATGCCTACCCAGGCCGGCATGGAGGCCCCTTTGAAGATCTTCCAGCAGTGCTAGCTGCTTCTGGTAGAGCCTGAGTAGCTCGAATGTTTAGAATCTAAACTGTAGATTGAAAGCTGCACTGGGGAAGCTCAAAGACTATGACTCCGAGAGGGCTTCTAGCTCCAGGACTTCTTGCTCCAAAATGGACCTTGGCGCAAGCGACACTCAGCAACTTTCTCATTCACATCCCTGCTACCATTCCGGGAATGGAATTGAAGACACTTTTCCAGGGTCGAGAAAATGGTTCTCGGCCATTGTTCACCCTGCCGGCCGAGAGAAGGGAAAAACGTAAAGCATGTAAAACATGGAGCCACAAATCCCGTGAGGTGCTGTTCAAATGGTCGACGCTTTGGACTTCAAGCAATTCGCCATGCCCAAATGGTCACAAATCTGAGGGTCAGGCCTACCAGACCGACCTGTCAGCACGTCAGGTGTTCACATGTTTTCATCCACGCGCAGTGTCACCCGCAAACAGGGCTGCTTCACCAAAGCGCTTTGTGTCACGAAGGACCTGCAGTCGGATTGAACTTCTTAAAGAACCCCATGTCCTGTCACCATTGCACCTCCTTTGGCTCTCTGTGCGGTTTCTGGAGGGGCTCATCGAACGACCTCTGAGGCAACTGCTCGAGTCACAGCCGCCATCGAGTCAGCTTCACAGTTGCAATTCAGCTAGCAGCTAGCAGCTAGCAAGTGCTTTTTCATGCTTTTTCATCCCACCTCCTGTGCAGGGTCTCAGCACAGGTCCTGAGTTCAAACAAACAACATGGAGAATCAGCAGTTGTCATTGACAAGTCGTGCCTCCACACATCACCAAAAGCTTCAGAAAAATTCAAAATAAAAGATAAAAAAAAAAAAGGAATGACACAATTGGTATGATACATCGTACATAAATGTGTTTTGTAGAATGTCTACAAAACACTTGGCATCTTGCCCATCTGCAGCGCAACTGTCGCTTTGTCCCTGAAGACCTGATCCAACCGGAGAGATGGAGAACTGAAACAAGGGTTCTCAAAATCTTCTCTTATGTAATTAGAAGCTGCAATTTCTGTGAACACATATACGGACATAAGGGAATCGACATAAGTGCCATTCACTCAGCAGAATGGTTCAGAGAACTCAACTCACTCCAACGATTCCGACTATCAGTTCCGTATAGGTCTTATAATCTAAATACCAATAAACACCTGGCGCCTTCAGTCGAAGCGACTCCTTGAACCGTTGTCTTCGATTCTTCACTGAGTATATATCGGGTGATCTTTGTTGAGATTTGCAGGCGTAAGGAGGCCTAAGGGCCAAGGTCACAAGTTGGCGGTAAAGCCTTATCTCGATTACCTCACAGACTGTCCGTTTCTCACCCCCCGCGCCAATAGGCCTTTTCTGGACCACTTGACAATCAACCTGATGCCCTTTGCTCCTCATCCCTGTGCTCAGGTTACGGAGTCACCTCCAGAGCAGCTTGAGTCCCTGGCAGAATAGCTGAAAGGCAACCAACACTGCCTGAAGCGAGGGTGAGTGATGAGATCAGGATTTCACTCGCATTTATTGATCCTTAAGCATCCAAAGAAGGGAACAAAAGTGATGGCGAAAAACTCCAAGCAGGAATCAAGTATAATCGTCGTGCTTGACACACCCACCAGGAAAGCAACTTTGCAGCCGTGGCCTGTCGGACTACACTGTGCATCCACTTTGGCGGCACATGCAGCCAGATGCTGCCATTGCAGGAAGAGCCCGGGCTCCACAGCGCAGGAGGCACGCTGAAATGTGCTGTGCTGACCTTTTTCTGGTTGGAATGAAAAACCTGCAGCAAGCGTGTGTGTGTGTGAGATCTTAGCAAGTTTCTGCTTTAGAGGCTTCAAGAAGCATGGTCACTCGCCACTGCTCCAAGATCTTTGAGGCGTTTGCACTGGACCAAACAGCTTGACGGAATGGGTTAATGGGCGGAAGCAAAGACCACGACAATCCTGGCATGGCTACCTATCATCCTATGGCTACCAATTGCTACCCTCGCACCTAGTCTTTTTTTGCGCAAAACGCAGACGGTAGCCTTGACGATTTACATCACAGGCTTTGGCACTGGAGCTCCTAGTACGCTCTGTGCGCTAACACAAAAAGCTGTTCCTGCATAGGCGCACAAGAAATTTTTGGGTGTTTAAAGCTTCGCGCCAGTCTTCGCAACCACCATAAACCACACATGGCGCCACACTCGCGCCTTGGAGTGACACACTCTTCGTGGCAGCTATGCTGGTCGACATCACCCTTACACCATCGCATCGGAAGGCCAAGAACCGTCGCGGTGTACGTGGCTTTGCAAGCACTCAGGTGGTACGTGGCTTTCGGCACCCACAGCACTTCCAGATTGCAACCTGACTTCGGATGCAAAATGACCTTTGGCTCAAATTTGCACTTTGGGTCGGGCATCCAATGGCTTTGCCAAAAGAAGTGACACAAATTTGCACTCCGCGTCCTATTGTGACCCCTAAGATGCTTGACCCAGAATGAGTCTACTATACATTATATAGAGGATGTTGCAGGAATTTGCAGAAAAGGCTCCGGGCCGATGCACGTCAATGTGAGTCAATTCCAGTTCATTCTCACCCCGATGCCCCAACCGGATTGAAAAGCAAAAGGTTGCTAAGTTGGCGAAGCAGCAAGGACAAAGATAATCACGGCTAAATTGGCTATATGCCAGGGGGGTCCTTGGGTTCATCATCTTAATTCATCTTACCATCTGACTATCTGACCATGAAAAATGTCCAGTCTGAGTCTCCGGCACAATAGCTTGGCCGGTGCCTCTGTACGCTGACTCGGCATCACCATGAGCGAAGCCCAAAGGTGCCATGGACTCCTTGGTCCCAGGGTACATGACCTTCACCCCTCCATCGCCGTGCTCCATGTAGGACATCTCACCGCCGTAGACGCTTGAGATGGCAGTGTCTCCTAAAAGGATCTGCCCGTCGCACCGGGTGTGCACATGATAATCTCGTTGAATTGTATGTCCAACCACCATCCTGTCCGCCTGCACTTTTGCAAGAACCTGGCTTGCCATTTTGCAAACACCAGGTCGGCCATATGCATAGTCTCTGGCCCACACCGGACCATGACTACCTAAAAGCTTCGGCTCATCCTTTCTCATCTTCTGCGAGTTGCTCACATGTTTCAAGGCTGCATGGAAGGCTGCATTCAAATCCTCCAGACTACGATGTTCAAGCATCTCGGGTAAAAGTCCCGCGTGCACAAAGAGCACCTTGCTGTCGGTTCACCCGGATGATGAGCATGCACCACATGGAACCCCCAGCACAAATGCAAAGCTTTTAGCACAAACACTGGTGTAAAAGGAACTCTATGGGAAAGCAAAGTGAAATCTATGTATGGCAAACTCTATTGTGATGCATTGTGGGCCACGGCACCCGGTCCACCACCACTGCTACTGGAAACTTCTGCAGCTCCGAGCCAAGCCAGCCGTCCCAAGACCATGCCTTCTTTCTCTCCTGGGGGAAGGACCACCTTTTGTCGAGAAAAAAAACGCTGTTTGTCTACATGTTGCTCGGGGCTGCGGGCCGCGGGTTATTTTTGTGAAGATGAGGTGATGGAAAAGTCACAGAAAAGCCCGAAAGATTGTAGGTTCTTCTGGCTTCCTTGAAGAACCCTTCCGGTTGGAAACGGTCGAGAGTCGAAAGGGTTCCGACCGACTCAGCAGGAGGTTCTGGTGCACCTTTGAGTTCAACATAGCTCGGTCCTCCATCCCCCCGAAATTCTCAAGGTCTCCCTGACTCACCTCACACTCAATTCACTTGGGTGTTTTTCTTGGAGGTTCCAGTTGGAGGGGACACAACTCTAAGGCCGCTGCATAGCGCCAATCACCCTGCATATTCATCACCTGACGCAAAGCCAAAACAAAAAAGTCCATATATATATATATATATACTTGTTTTAACCTTTTTAGATCTTTTTAGTATGAATTGTGGCAACTTGGCCTGGCCGACCCTGGCAAAATCCTCCCGCAGAAATCTCAGCAAATGCAGCTGCATGCAAAACTCGTGCGATATGTCCGATATGTTTCTAGGGTGTGCAGTGATGGGTAGCCTAATGATGCCTAATGCCTAGTCAAACAACAATAAACCAAAGCAGCGCCTCATGATTGCCCAGCAGGTTTATGACACGGCCGCCTGCCTGCCACTCAACCGGTAACCATGTCACTCTACATCAGCAAACATCCGCAAACGAAGTCAGCCTCTTCAGCCTCCTGGCGAAGTCGGAAGAACAACTGGTAGATCTCCTTGCACTTGTCGCCTCGGTCCTCAGATCCAAAAATCATTCCTGCCTCATGCGGGGCAAACGGAGAAACAAGATCAAAAACAGTGCCGCAAAGCTGCAGTGATATCACCGGTTTGGACCAAAGTTGCGTCTCCGCCAATCCATCGGTGAGTCTCCTCCAGGTGTTTGAGCTGTCTCACACACGTATCAAGAAATCCAAGTTCCGTTCCTGAAGCTCTCCTTTCCCTTGGTGTCTATGTCAGTATTGTCCCGACAACGCAACCATCAGGAACATTCAGGACCCCAGAGAGAAAAAAGAAAACATTGACTCCAAAGAAAGGCCCCCGCCTCGTCAATCAACTTGGCACTTGCGAGAATGGTGACGGTCCGATCAAAGTCGCCATGAAGGTCAGCCACCGAAACTAATCTACCGAATGCAGGGCAGCTGCTTGCCAGCAAAAGGACCAGGCTTAGCCCGCCTCTCATGACTCACTACTACCTCCCTCAGAGCCAACCTAAAAGCTCAAGCGGCAGAAAATGTCAGACACTCATCACAAGCGAGTGGCGTAGCCTTTGCGCACATATACACTGTATGTATGTTGCTTTGAATTGCTATTTGTTGCAAAAATTCATAATCCACAGTTTGCCAGGCATCTTTTCAGCTTCGAACAGGACTCTCACTGTTGTTGTCGCCGCAAGCAGCAAGCACATCTAGCCTCAGCAAAAATGAAAAAGCATGATCTTTGAGCAACTGAACTATGTTCCTCCAAGTTGCGAAGCCCAAGAAGGTCTTGCAACCTCTTCTCCTTCAATCGTGCCAAATCAAGTCAGAAATTTACGACGGCAAGACCGTCCTCTGCTGAAAGGGTTCCAACTTGTGTAGATTGCCTGCTGCCAAAGGTCACCAAAACAAGCTACAAAGCTACATTTGCACACCATTTCACCATTGCATGTGGCACCTTCCCACTCTTCTGGTAGCATGAGTCTGGTCCAATTGCCTTGGAACAAATCTTGTGACACCGGAAAGGCATGACGACACCGAGCAGTGAAAATAACAAAAGAGAACTACTGGCAGGGAACACGTTCACTTCCAGTTAACCTTCAAAACCAAATGTCACGCTGACGGAACGACCACAATTCATCGTCAAGCTGCAAATTCGGGTCACCTTGGCCGCTGGCACGGTCACCTAGACGCCGCTAGCCATTATCCACACAATAGAGTGTGCAATCATGGGCTGGGGATGCCCAAAGAAATCAAACAGAATAGCTACTGAAACACCCCCTTAGTGTGGTCCCCGCCGAATGGCACGGATGGATGTCCATGTGTTGCCGCTTGATAAGCACTGCCAGCACCGTTTCGGTGCGTTCACTATGAGATCAGTCTGAGATCGCTGAAGACCAAAATCCGAAAGAGAAGAATCCCGAAAGGAAGGCAAGGCACGTGGTGGCGAGGGGGAGCTGCCACGAACACCGAAAGCCAAATCCCGAATCAAAAAGACGTGGTTTGACACAGCCACTAACAAAAAAAAAACGCATGTCAAGCTGACAACCAAAAAGAGGTCCGCGAAGCTCACAGTCATCAACAACCGGATGCCAAATCCCGGCTCTATCAGAAGAACGAAGGGGAGCGCCAGCTAAGAAATAATAAGAAATATACCACACCACACCCGCAGACAGACCCGCCACAATCGCCGGAAGACGGGACAACGCATGGTTCCACACGCACAAAATACAACAAGAGGGCCTCCAATAAAGCAAGGCATGGCATCTCACATCACCCACCTTACGCACCTTGTACCTTGTACTGTAGAAATGAATTAGTGACCAAATCGGCGCCCATTTGCTTTGATTTCAAGTCTGTTGTGGTGATCTGTTGTGATCGGCGGGGATCTGTGCTAAATTGTTGTAATCTGTAATGATCTGGGTGTGCAAAGAACTGTGGCGATTAGTGATGACTCATGATGACTTGATGTGCTTCTGACAAATCTCATGTGTCAGACGTGGCGTTGTCAATCCTTTTGTGGGACACCCTGATGGCAGACTGGCCAAGCCTGCTATCGATGCACCGAACTTAGCAGTGAGACCCACCTTGAAATGCTAGACGCTTTGCAGGCCAAGTGCTGTTGCCTACATATTTTTATCACTGTATTCACGCCTAACTCCTTGGGCCTCCCTACCCTGAACAGTTCTAGGCGTGTCTTTCTTGCAAGAACGAACACCTGTCTAGTCAGGGCTTAGTGCTTTCTAATGATTGTCCAAGCTGCTGAAAGACTGAGCATCTAGTGAGTCTAGCGCTTCCAGGCGAACTGACTCCCTCTTTGCAGGTGGCCTTGGATGGCAAGCGAGCTGTCCTTGTAAGCTACTTGAGTCGGCAAACTATTCAGTCAAGCCGCTCTGAACCTCTCAAGCCCTGGCAGTTCACTTGTAGATGTATGAGGTCCAACTCTTGTGACTGCTTCGGATTAGGAGCTTTAGCTCTGCCTGCAGGACCTCTCTCATCTATTACATCAAGTGCTAGTCACTAGTCACTAGTTCTTGTTCACAGGATTGGGCACCTAGGAGCCCGTCCAAACATGCCAATGACACACGGACCGAAGAGCCTTAGCCGCACGAGGAGGTGTAGGACACGCGTACCACACCACGTTCACTGCCCTGCAGCTTGGGAACCCAAAGCCTCACCTGCCACATTCAGCATGCTGGCACCACTGGCAGCTGCTCTCATTGCTGCAGCCTCCTATCCCCGGCAGCACCCTCTACGAGCATAAGCCCCCCCCCCACACGGTGGCGGTTTTATTGGGAAACCAAAACGATGATTCGGAAACCAAGCGAGATTCGGAAACCAAGGAACCATGATTCGGAAACCAAAACGATGATTCGGAAACCAAAACGATTATTCGGAAGCCAAGCGTTATTCGGAAACCAGTAAAGATTATTCGGAAACCAACGAGTATTCGGAACCACAACGAATATTCGGAAACCAAGCGCAACGATGAAACCAAGCTGTGATTCAGAACCCCACTGCCCTTGTTTTGCACGGTCACTACATCTGCCAGGAACGTTATTGCCCCAGCCCCATCCCACCACCCCACCCAACCTACTGTGATTCAGAACCCAACTGCCCTTGTTTTGCACGGTCACTACCAGGAACGTTATTGCGCCAGCCCCATCCCCCCACCCCAACCCCAGCCCCATCCCACCACCCCACCCAACCTACTGTCATTCAGTACCCAGGTGCCATCTCCCAGGAACGTTGTTAGCCCAGCCCCCACCACCCCACCCAACCTACTGCGATGCAGTACCCAGCTGCCACGTTTTACCCAGGTGCCATCTCCCAGAAACGTTATTGCCCAACCCCCACCACCATCCCACCCAACCTACTGTGATTCAGTACCCAGCTGCCATCTCCCAGGAACGTTATTACACCAACCCCATACCACCACCCCACCTAACCTACTATGCCGCTATGCATTTGGTTGCTGAATCGTTGTTTTTTTGGTTGCTGAATCGCGGAATGTTGGTTTCTGAATCGTGGAATTGTAGTGTCTGAAGCGCGGAACTTTAGTTTCTGAATCGCGTTTTTTTTGTTTCTGAATCGCAGTTTTGGTTTCTGAATCGCGCAATTTTGGTTGCTGAATCGCGGATTGTTTGTTTCTGAATCGGACTTTATTCCCCCCCCACACACTGGTGGAACAAGACTTTCTGGTTAGGTAAATTATATAGGTCAATAGACCTAAAATCAACATCAAAAGAAATCAAGAATAATCAATCATCTTTGTAATGTCCTCCTGTCTGGAGAATGCATCCTCGACCGCTGCTGACTCCTGAGAAGTCATGTGATGCGTGCATGCTCACAATGCGCATCCTTCCCCTTTCGCGTGCTGTGCCACTTTACAGGGCTTCCTTGTGCAGAGCTGCAGCCATGGACTTCAAGTTGTTACCTTCATCTTCCAGGAGCTGCGCCAGCTTGTTCAATCTATCCTGCTGCTCCTAGGCGAAAGGTGGAAGCACATCTATCATCTATATAATGTTTGCAATGGCGTATGCCTTATGCCGCACGCCAGTCCGAGGGCAGCACCATCTCTTCACCAACGCAGCTCCACAAAGTCAGAATGCACACGAAGAACCGAGAACTTTGGCGTGCCATGTTTTCCCACGCAAACGTTGCCGCAGACTGGCGTCTACAGCACGGTTAGTATGTCTCCCTCGGAAGCGACTTGCGTAAGTTCGCTAAGCTAGCATGAGCCGAAACCTTGCAGTCACACGATTTAAAGGAATGCATCTACAGTATAAAGAAGGGCAGCACCAGTCAATCCCGGACATGTATAGCGACGGGGATAGTTGTTGGTTCGATAGTTGTATCCTGGCATGATTCGCTCTGTTTCTTGCAGGCTACAAATAATGTCCTGGTTGAACGCAATGCAAATCTTCATATACAAGCTGGACAATTTAGTTCAACCCGATCCCAGTACCTTCCTCACAGCTGCCCACCAATCGTGCACTGGGCCTGAAATGGACATCATTTGGGTTCTAGGGCGGTTTCGTTCTGAGTTGAAGTACCACTGGGACCCAGCTGGAAAAGCCTCAGGAACCCTACTGACCCTCTGCCGTCACCTCCACGACTTCGAGACTCAACCTCGCTGCTAGAGCCAAGCATGAAAAGCGGCAGCGTTGGATCATGTCGACCTCCTTGTTGCATTCCACAATTTGTGTCCCTGTTCTGTATATCTTGAGCGCGTGCGGCGTCAAAGGGTTGCTCCATACCGCTCGGGGCCCAGTCATGAATACGGCACCGAAGCCCTCCGCAACCGAGGCCAAAGCGGCATCGAGCCGAAGCCATCCACGTTTGCTCGGTCCAACTCGGTGGCACTCGAAGAGCTGACCAGCAGCGATGCCGCGATGCCGCAAGGCCAGTCTAGTCACCTAGTCGATCTGTACGAAGGCTCCTGCAACACTTCAAGAGGAACGGATCAAACACCCAAAAAGAACACTTGACACTTGGGCGAAGCATCAACGAAGATCTGACAAAGCTCCACCTGGCATCCAGCCCATTAAAGGCCGCTTACACTCAGACCAAATCACCAACCGCGGATGGTTGAGTCTCTATAGAAAAACATTGAAGTGCACAAAACACGCCACAACTCTATATATATATATGTGTGGAAAGCTTAGTGTCTTTTCTGCTTGTGATTCCCCCTCGTCTTGTGCGAGGTATATAGGGCCCTCACGCTTGGCAAGGTCAAAAGTCAAAAGCAAGCCTGCTCTGCCTACGTCAAAGCAAAGGCGCCAAGCAGTGACAAAAGCACTGGAGTCACTAGGGCCGCTTGAGACGCAGATCGGTACAAATAGAGGGCGTTAGTGAGGCCGCAGAATTCTCCAACGCAACCTCCAAGTATCATGAACACGTAGCTGGTGCTGGAGCGGGTGCTTTGGTTGATGTACGACAACCCCTGGCAGGTTTCCCAAACACCACAAGCTGCTGAAGTTGTGACAACGACGGTTTCAATATGGGGCGTTTGCTTCGATTGGATTCGCACGTCAATGCGTTCAAGCGAAAGAAGAGGACAAAAAGGGAAATGAAAATTGAAGTTTGCTATCCGTGGTGGGTTCCTTACAGTCGCTGCCTGCTTTTCTGGTGCCCGCCCAGGGTGTCAGTTTTCCAACGCCACATGTGGCTGGTGTGGCTCGGGCGCAACACAAGCGACACCTGGTGAAGTGCCAACACGTCGCAATTAAAACCTTTCACTGGTTTGGGTATTGAACGGGTTTGCCAGGCTGCCGGTCAAACAACGTGTGGCAACAGCAAAATGTTTGTCACTATCACTGATTATCACTATCACTATCTCTGCAGTGCCCAAAGTGACCCGTTGCAAGCGTTCTAAATTTGGTCTTCGGTTGGTTGGTGCCTATTTATCGAAAATGCAGCGCTCAACCTCTTCAAAATGGTCCTTTTAGCTGCTGCTGAGCTGCTGCTTGCCCCCACACACCAGTTGCAACGGGATAGCGGAAAGCACCATTGTATTGAACAACCCCCGTTTGAATCTGTTTTGCAGCGTAGGCGGTCCACGTGTTGTTGTAAACGTTGTCAGGCTTCCACACATCTTCGCTTGCACGCGCCCCTCCCGCCAACTTTAAACTGCTTGTTCTGAAAGGCAGCCTTAGCCATCAAGAACGCAATCCCAACATGTGTCACACTGTCACACAGGGCCACGGGCGAATGGGTACCCTGGATGCTTCGCAAGCTGAAGTGAGTTGCATACATACACTTGCACCAGAACGCTGCTACTCTGCACCTAAAATCTTCCTGAAACTAGGAAACGGTTTTGGACAAAAACGTCTTTCGCAAAACCCTCCCAAGTTATCCGACGACCCCGGCTTAGCCCACACTAAGTGGGGCGGCACCTGGGACACCGCAGGGTGGAACCTTACCTTTGGCTAGGCACTCTGGAAAAGCTGTTGGGCTTGCACACCTTGCAATACAAGGAGCCACTCCCTTCGCCAAGCCTTGGGCCCATGTTGTTCTGCGAGCAATTGCGGTCGAAACTCAGTATAACACATTCGGCACAAGCCGCACGGCGAGAGGCCTGGCACTTTGCCAAGCCCTTAGCCCGTGCTGTTCTGCGCACATTGCGGCCGGAAAGGGAGCCAGACAGCCAGACAGCAGCCTAAAAACCTAGTCACGGCCAGACGCGTGGCAAGCTCCCTTGGCCCATGTCGTTGCGCGCAATTGCGGCCGGTAAGGGTGCCAAACTGCGCCTTCAAAACCAAGCAAAGAAGGTTGGCGCAAGCCCACGGCCAGAGGCGTGGCAGGCTCCCTTCGCCAAGCCCTTCGCCCACCTTGTCCCGCGCGCAAAAAAAAATACATGAAGGGTGCCGGACAGCAGTTTCGAAGTAAAAGAAGGCGTGCGCTAGGCGTGGCCGGCTCGCTCCGCCAAGCCCTTAACCCATCTTGTTCCGTGCGGAATTGCGGCCGCAAAAGTAGAAGGCTGGCGCAAGCTCACGGCCGGAGCCCCTTTGCCAAGCCCTTAGCCCATGTTGTTCTGCGCGCACTTGCGGCCGGCCGCTTCAGACAGTAGGGCTTTTTGTCTACGCTCGTTGACATCATCGTCACAAGAAGTCCGAAGCCACCACCGGCGCACATAGTATCATAGTATGGTATTATTGTAAAGCCCCGGCGGGGTTTTAAGACACATGTGCGCGCAAGATGGCACGAACGCAAGCATCTTGCCCACTCCGAAGCCCCCTTGAGATGCACACGCACGTGCAAGACGACACGAATGCAGGAATCTTGCCCAACCACCCAAAAAGAACAAAACACTTGAGATACACGTGCGCCACAAGACGACACGAACGCAAGCAGCTTGCCCGCCCACAAAAAGCGGAGTAGGATTGAATTGTCGCTGGCGCTGCGTGACGCCGCGCGACGACGCGTGACGATGCGTGACGATGCGCGCCGACGCGTGAGGAGACAGTTTGGATCTGGTGTCCACCTAGAGGATCGATTGCTGCCCTTTGGGGCGCGTATTGTTGTTTTGCAGCGTCCAGCTTCTTTAGTTGATATTGCTGTTGGAAGGCTTGCATACCCACGCTGCACCGGATACTGTTTTTTGCGCACCATACGGCCTTCGTGTCCACTGCAGATGTTCATGGCTGCGCCATGGTTTTCTAATGTTCTTGGGTTTTGAGCGCTGGCTCACCCACTGCACGCTACACAACAGACCTTCTCACGCTACCCAAACGAAAAATAAGGATGGATATTAACCTTGTAACCCGACAGTGAACAAAGCTATCCAGCATCCCACGCACGGCAAAGCAACACACAATACTTTTCTATGCTGAGCGAAATTGAGCCAAAGTGTTAAGTCGTCACACGCATAGTATACATGCTATACATACTATGTGGCCTGTGGCTGCACTTCCATCGACACCCCCCATGTATCCTATGCCGTCAGCTTCGGATACACACAATTAAATTCAAGGGTCAGTACTGCACAGTAGGCTTCGACTTGATGCCGCAAGGCCGAAAATGGACTCTGCACTACCCAACATTAGCGGAACTAAGCGGGCATTACCATATAAATGCATGAGTAGACCTAATGGCTGCGCAAATGAATTGTAAAAACGATAGTCGAATTGGCCACGCTCAGAGAACTCTCAGTAGATCTTCGTCATGAGATAGTCCGAGTCTTTGTGACTTGCTCAACTGAGAAATATGACCAGGTTGGTGGCATAGTCACTCTTACGACTGACAGAGGTTCATACTTGGTAAGTTGAACTTGTCTTAGCGCCTGGTATCTTCCTCGTATAGCCTTCTTCTTCTTCGTCCCAATTGTGGTAATCATCCCAATATAGAGCGCCTTTCTCTGATGGCCGGATTACTCCATTGCTCATCTCGGAATGTTGAACCATAAGTAGGCCAACTTCGATAGTTCCAGTTGATTCGCTGCCAAGTAGGTTGGGAACCCTTGGAGTTTTTGAAACTCTTACCACCTTTCTTGCCTCTCCCCTTGCCTTTGGGATCTTGGCGTTGAGCTTCTCCTCGTTCTTGGTGGCTTGAGGACGCAGCATCCGATCGTGGTGGCCTCTCAATTTCTGGCGCAACACTCGTCAGTGGCGTTTTCCTCAAAGACGGCGCTTTGGAAACATTTGCTCCGTAGTCATACTTATCCATGAGTCTGACTGTCGAGATCCTTGGTCGTGACTACGATATAACCATGAGATCAAATATATATATCCGCCGACCCCGGCTGAAGGAGGGGGAGCGCGCGAGGGATTACAGGTGCGGGAGCCTTGCGCTTCTTCGTCTCAGCACGAACCTGCAGGCAACAGACGCTTCCACTGCTCGATGCTGCTCGAACACATGCATCACTGGAGCCGCAACCTATTGCGCTTCTTCGTCGCAGCACGAACCTGCAGGCAACAGACGCTTCCACTGCTCCATGCTGCTCGAACACATGCATCAGTGGAACCGCAAGCTACAGCAACATACGAACCCCTCTGGCGGTGGCTCACAATGTCGCGGTCGTGCTCCCTGAGGCCCTCACCGAGCCGGAAGCAGGGGTGGGCACCGAAAGTGTGAGGCTCGGAGGGTCGTTTTGGATCAGACTTAGATTGGAAAAAGCTGTGGCGGGACCAGGTGTTCGGGGCCAAGATGACCGAGACAAATGGAAACAAACTTCTTTTTTTCTAGGGATTCAGAGGCGGCGTTTGGCACCCAAAGTGCGACCATGGGAGGCTCGTTTTGGA